ATTATCTTCATCTGCTTGTTAACATGCGTGGTAAAAGTGTGCTGACCTCGAAAAAGGCAAGTGTTAGAAATGCTTCGAGTACAGTCTCGCCGCAGTCACTGACCGCCTGATTTTCACTAGTTACAAGGGCTGGAGCTACGAGACACCAGAAGGTGATAAAGAAAGCAGCTGAGGATACGAACGCACCACCTAGGTCCACCTCAACCGAACGGTCACAGTCACGGCTTGCAACTTTCGTAGTTAGCCTTACAGCCAATCCTCTCAGCACTGTAAACGTCACTATGCCTAATCAAGCAAACCCAAAGCCCCATGCTACTCCTAGCGCCTACCTTGACTGCCAGTGAGAACCACTGGGCGGAAGCGTCAAAGAGTGGGGCAAAGGCATCTGGAAAAACTACATGGACATGACGACAACTGCTACACATGTGCTGTCACTGTTGCCAAACGTGGTGCAGCCGTTCAGTGCAACAGCTGCACCAGATGGGCGCACTGCCGACCAGACGAAGAAGTGCCACATCAGTACTGTAGCTGTATGACGCCCCAGTCATGCATGTGGTTTTGGCATATTTGCCCACAGTGCCGTCTTAGACGGCACCTAGCTTCAGGCATACTTAGAGTGACCGATAAATTTCCAGCAACCAAAAAGCAGGTATCCGTCTAAACCACTATCACGGAGGATATTCACTGTCCAGGGGATTTCGGCAATGACCCGCTGAAGGTCGAAAATCTGAGAGGTTCTAGGCCGAACAAAAGGCTGCCTCCACCAACGGCAACTGCATCAACCTCAAGCCTTGGAGCCGCACCAGAGACAGCAACCAGCGGACAATATAAGGAATGGGTCGGGGTGGAGAAGAAAACTCGAAGCATCCATGGAAACGCGCCCATAAGATCGGATGATGTTGGCATCACTGACCGATCTAGCTCTATCATTCTCTTTAACGTTCCTGTCTGTGATGATAGCTTCCTGGAGCATAAAGAAGAGTTCGACAGACAGAAGCGGCACTCCATTTGTGCCAGGCTAGGTCTGAGTGCTCTCGAGGCAAAACTGTGTCGACTATATAAAGGCGCCCACCCACCCGCAGGGATGCCTCCGCCGATGAGAATGACCCTAGGCTCAACTAGTGAAGCTGAAAAGTTCCTCTTACTGTCACACACCCTGGTCATCAACAGATAGTACAACATTAGAGCTAGACCTGGCCGACTATGGGTGTCAAGAAAGACGTCTTGAGAAGCAGCTGGTCAACCAAAACTGACAACCATGATCGTACATAGAATACCTTAAATGGCAACCGGTACCCCAGGTGATAAGTACACCCACGACGTCCGATAACGGCGGTGGTTATCGGTTCGGATGGAGCTGAGTGTGGTTGCAGCTGCGGCAATTAGCAGACTGCCAAGCCCCTTGCATCTGACGACCATAACCTCGCCTTGACTGATGGCTGTCAACTTTGAATCCCCAGAAGTACTCATCAGAGTGCTATAGACGTGGTACAAAGTCAAGAGCACCATAAGCAGTAACGTTCTCTGCTGCGGAAGCAGACCGAGAGCACAGACACCAACACACAGCAGTTACTCCTTGTGCTGAGGCACCGTAATCATTAACCGAAACGCTGAGAGTCAGACCGCACCCCCTACCCAACGCCGAGTGCACCAATCCAGCCGGGAAGAAACTTATCAGGGCCAGTCAGTGGAAACCCCCACATCCAAACTTGGGCCACTAGTTAACCAAGGGACACCTGACGTTACGAGAAGCACCTCCAAGTTTGCTTACAGCAACGTAAGAGGACACTGGGGTAAAATGTCAGAGCTCCGATCCCTCTGCTTCGACCTCGTCCCGAAAGCCATGATCCTGACGGAAACATGGTCATCGACAGACATAAGCGACACCGAAGCTAATATAGACGACATGATTCTGTTCAGGGGAGACAGCGAACATAGGGGTGGAGTGGGTTTTAATGCACGTGAACAGTTGGTTCGGAAGCGGACAAACCACTGACACAGTACCGACAGAGCTCCCAGACTCTATCTGGTGCCACTTCACGGTCAAACACCAAATTCCTAGTTGCAGGAATCTATAGGTCCCCTAATAGCAACTCGGAACACAACCAAAAACCACCCCGAGTAATACCTGCAGCGTCGACTACAGGGTGCGACCAGATCCTAATAGCTGGCAACTTCAACGTTCCAACCCCCGGCCTAGAGCGAGGCGGCACGACTCCGAGCAGGAAGTTTGATTGCAACCTGCTAAACGCCATCCAAATTGCTGGGCTGCTGGAAAAAATCAGCGACAACACTTGCTGGAGGTCACATGGTAAACCATCTAAGCTGGATTACCTACTGACCGGTGATCACCTGGTTAAAAACTTCCAGGCGCAAACCCCTCTCGGAAACAGCGGTCACGCTGCAGTAGCGTTCGACCTGGTTATAGGCGAAAAATTATCATGGGAGGGACCTCGCGCTTACCTCTAATGAAACAGGGAAAATTCCGAACGTATGAACAAAGGTCTATCAAGAGCCCCATGGCCAGTGGGTTGGCGTTCCTTATCGGTCGGCCAGCACTGGAAACTGGTAAAAGCAAAATGTCCCCTTGGCAGTAACAATACCCAGAAAGCTAATCTCACAGCTAAAACGGGGCACTGGACACCCTTTAAAGGCCGAGAGGAGGGCATGGCACATCTGGAGACTCTTCAGAGAACAGGACGAACATGGCGCATACATGACTCTATGGAATAGAAGAAACATCAGGGTGCAGGAAGACAGGGGGTCATCCCAGTCCAACCTAGCCAGGAGGCCTGAGGTAAACCCAAAAAACGTATACCGATTCATGGCGAAGAGAAAATCGACAGGCCAAGGAGCATGCGTCATGAAAGGTCCGAATGGAGAAGACCTCTCTGGACAGGAGATCGCCGAAATGTTGAGCACCACACTTGACACACAGCTCAACATTCCATCAGAAGAGTACGCATGCCAACTGTCTGAAAAGCCCCCAATGTCACCCGATGCTGCTGAGTTGCACGAAATACGGATAACGCGCGCTGTTGTTCTCGGCAAGCTATCAAAACTAAGCGCGGGAAAATCCCCAGGGTGCAACGATATCCGCCCATCTGCGTTGAAAGAATGCGCAAGTACCCTGATCAGCCCAGTCTGCAATCCCTTCCAATACTCCTTGGATGAACAGAAGCTCCCACGAGAGTGACAAAAAGGCTATCCTTTCTCCCATCTTCAAAGGAGGAGACGGAATCCCAACCGTTACAGACCCATAGCACTTCTACCATTAATATCAAAAGTTATGGAAAGTGTGATGGACGACCATATCAAGGAATATCTGAGCAAGAAACAGGCACTCAGTGACGCTCAACATGGCTCCCGGAAGGGTAGGTCCTGTGCCTCCAACCTCCTGACTGCCCATGATCACTGGACAGCATGCTGGGATCTCAAGGTCATGGCCCACGCAATTTTCTGGATTTCGCAAAAGCCTTCAGCACTGTCTCACACACGATCCTGATACATAAGGTAGCTGGGTTAGGTATACGCAGCCAGGTGCTATCGTGGCTGCAGAACTACTGAGACAATAGGGAGTTCTGCACAAAAGTCAACAGGGTCTACTAAACTTGAAGAACATCCTCATCCGGTGTCTCATAAGGGGTAATTCTGGGTCCACGTTGTTCCTACTGTTTGTGAATGACCTGCCGCAACATATCGGCCCTCTGATTCCACTATACGCTGATGATGTCAGGTTATGGAGGACAATAACTTGAGAAGCAGAATCTATGCAATTCCAGAACGACCTCAAAACACTAGAGGAATGAGGAACTAATAACAAACTGGCACTTAACCTCGGTAAGTGCCGGTCCATGTTTTTCCGCACTCCTGATCCTCAAAAAATATCCTGTTATCTCCGTTGCTCACGTCCATCCCATACTGCAGTGGAAAAAGATCTGGGCTTAACGGTGTCGGGGAAACTGGACACCAGTTCCAATTATCCAGGTGATGCCTCAAAGCATGTGGTGTACTACACTTTGTGCGCAGACGGCTGGGTGCCCTCACCCCAGAACTCTTTCTGAAGCTCTACAAGACTTACATACGGCCCCACTTAGGGGTCCATAACATCTTCTCTCCACCACAACTGAAGAGTGACACTAACCTTCTGGAGAAAGTCCAGAGGCGAGCCACAACGAAAACCGTATGAGGATAGACTGAAAGACCTAGGCCTATACTCTCTTAGCTACCGAAGGTTACGAGGTAACTTGATAATGGCCTACAAGATGCTGAATAACCCATGTCACCGGAACAGAGGAATACTACCAAGTGGAAACTAAGGAGATCCTCGAGGAAACCCTAGGAGAATAGCCCACCGAAGGTCAAAAACTCATCTGCGTCCACAATTCTACTCCCTCCGAGTTTGCAAGTACTGGAGTGCACTACTAGCAGAGGTGGTCTCCTTACCAACTACTGAAAGCTTCAAGAAGAGGCTAGACAGTTACTCAGTGAACCACGGTCCACCTACATATAGCTGGAACATGAACTGATGTCAAGCCACCCAAACTATTTTAATTTTACAACCAGTTTGCTTTCTATTGTAACCATTCAGACCCTTTTCATCCCTTCCACTTGCCATGAGTTAGCCTCACTTACCTAAGTTTTTCACAACTTCGCACCCCTTGGGTGTGAGTAGATTACTCCATTAGTTCACTTTTCTTTTCCCCTTTTACTCACACAAAAACCTATCTAGGTTTTCTCTTCACTATTTTTAATCCTCTCTAGTGACCAATGCGAACAACTGTCTGGCAACTCGACATCTGAAGAAGCCAGCTGCACCACAGCCCAAGACAAACAAACCAACATTTAACTTCCTGTTCCGTAAATCAGAGTTATAGCAGACGAGTAGCTGGACCTACTGCATCGGAATCCACCAAAGACCTCGAACCGTTCCGCAAGCCCAAAAAGCAAGCAAGAAGAAATCAACTGGTTTACGCATGCTCGTTAAAAAAATATTGGACATTGGATGTTGGCGACATCCACTCGAGGTGGTCTGGGGCGCTCACTTTAGAAATATTGCAAATTTCACATTCGTGCATTAAACAGCAATGGTTTTTTCTAATCATTGACTTCAAGTAATTCAGTCAAGGTCTTACACTTTTAGTAGGGTTATGTTATAAATTTTTTTAAGACTAACGCAGGAAAACTGGTCTGCTGTCCGTACTACAGAAAACTCAATTTCACTCATGAGTGAAAGCATTGCAATGCTTTCAGGGAAGGTGCAGTTTCGTAACTATTTCCAAAGTGATTCCTCGTTACTTTTTGATGAAAATTAAGATCATTGTGGTGCTCTGACAACTCATAAAGGATTTTGAAGTAGCTAATTAGTCCAGATCTGGACCAGAGCTCGAGGTCTGGGCTAGGTTACTGTGTAGTCCTTCTGCTAAGCTTTGACGTGTTGAAGTGAATCCTTTGGTTATAGGTTCAACCCAATGAAGATCAAAACAGTGATAAAGCCTATAACAAACATGTGAAACCCAACTTGTAACGGAAATAATCGGAAAATACAAATTTCCACTTTTTATGCTCGCTCTCGACGACTGTTCACTTTTCTCAATCAACTGATATGTCCACTTTTTCTCTTTCGAGTCACTTAGATTCAGATTTGTTGTTTGGGGATCGAAGACTGTAAGGCTATATTAATCCTTTTCCAGTATATCTCTGTGCTTGTGCAGTCCTCTTTTGAACGAGTCAATTGATAATGCGGACACCACTTCTTCTGAGAATTATTTTCAGGAGTTAATTGCTCAACGCGAGAACCAGTACTTTTGTTTTGCTGCGACTACGTTCTTTATTTGCTTTTTTATCCTCCTACTACGTCCTCTGAGGTTTTATGACCTAGTGGGAAGGAAAAGAGAAAGTGAATAAGGTCCAAAGTCATTTCTTGGAATCCTGTGTATCAGGATTAGATCTCCTCTCTGTCCGAGACCGAATAAAGAGAAGAGGTTTAGTAACTGCGGTCAGTCTTCGTAGGCCAGGCCAGCCATCTCTGGGATCATGCGAGTGGGTGCCTTCTGGACTCTTTCCAGAAGGTCTGAGTCACGTTTGAGAGAAAAATTTACCGCCTGTGTACAGTTTTCTAATTTAAACCTACCTGAGGGTGTGTAAAAGATGGTGAACGTATCGCCACCTATTGTTGTAAACATGTGTAATGCCGAAAGTCTCCTGAAGCTTTGGTATGTGACCAATCGACAGTGCACTGTGGTTTTCAAGTCATTGTAACTCCTAGGTCATTATGGGTCAGTAGAAAGGGTAGTGAAGTCCCAACAATACCGTAGGTGTTGACATCTGATTGCCCTATGTGCATGCTTGCATATTTGTGTGAATACTGATCTCATCTCTGCTTCTACATTACACATCAAGTATATGAAATTCATCAATCACACCTACACTAATGAGTCCTTCGATTGAGATGTTTAAAAAAGCATCAATCTGTCAATTAGGCGTAATATATTTAAATTTTCCGAAGCAATTTCATCACATAATGAAAAAAACCTCATTGAACTATTGACATTTTATGCAGTTAAGTAGAATGATATCACCAGAGGAGTATATTAATCATGATGGTTTTATAATCATGCCACTTTTCACCACAGCTGCAGTTCTGCATGATTCCAACGCATACTACTTTTCTTAATTGGATTCTGCCAACATTGCATCCTGCAGAAGGTAAGTAGCAGTGTTACATCAGTCAGTGAGACTTTCCAATACAGTAGCCATGAGACATGTTTCTAATAGTTATCGTTACTTGTAAGACTTACACTGTTATCCCTATCTGCTTCCTTTTCGTCAATGGTCTGTAAACGAAGTGAAATTTATATAGTTCAGCTGCAAAAGTGTCAATGGGTTCTAAAAAACTAGGTCAAGGGAGTGACAGGAATATTTACTACTACTCGATTCCTGTTAGAGTGTTTGGCAAGCTTATCTCTCAGATCGAGGAAGAAGGCTGTTGTGTCGTCATCTAACTCCTACTGAAGTTTGTTCCCTCTTATGCAAGGGTTAACGAAATAAGCAGTTATGATGGCCGAAAGAAAACGTTGTCACCAGAGAATATTCCTTTATCGTAGAATGATTGAGGAGGCCAAATTTACTTGGTGCCAACTTCTTAGGTGTTTTGAGTAGTGTATAATGCTGTAGTAATACCGGAGATAGAAATCCTGTCAGTATATACTTCATGAATTCTTTCACGTCACTTCTTATCTTCACTTTCACAGTTTGAAACCCAAAATATGAAAGGCATTCGTCCTTACGAATACATCCTGGAACTCTTGGTCTTCCAGTGACAACTCAGGAACGTCAAGCTTTTCTTCGCTCTCCGACGAAAAACTCACATGGTAGTCTTCCAGCGATGTACCAATTGATTCTGGTTTCCCTTTAATTATAGTTTCCAGGAAGGAAAATTTCTGTTTTGTTACTCGCATGTGCTCTTCTTACAGGCCTTTATGGAGTTAGGAAAGTTATTGAATAGTTACTTCTGATTTTCATAATGTTTTGTGTCACGTGGTCGAAATTAAAAGTTGTAGGAAGTGATGGCAGTGAAAGGATTGGTTGTCGTTTTGCGTGAAGTACTGCAGTGAAATTGATTCACCCAAAATTCAGTTACCGGGCTACAGGTGATGTGGGAGTATCAGTTAGATTGACGTTGGTATACGTGGACACCTAACAATCTCTTTTGACATCGAAATTATCTTAATCCCCAGAATCGTGTCAGATCAAATATTTTTACCGTTTGGACTTCGGTAGCTGTGAGGTTGCTTCTTCGCCAACCTGCAGATTTCTGTGAATACGTAGCTTCTGCATTAGAGGTTTCAACTTCATCATTTTCACCAAGTGACCTTCAGTTATCGTAACGTATAGTGCTGTAAACATTACCACGGTCCATGACTATCTCTCACTGTAGATCCTAATCGATCTGAGGAAATATGCCACCTGTAAACTATCCCACCTCCAGGTTATCTGTGACTACGCGTAGACTACCAGTTACTCGGTATAACCAGAATCTCTTCATGGTATTTAACAAACTAGCGGAAAAAATTAATCTCTGTAGAGTCATACCGTTGGGCAGCTTTCTCAGCTACCGCATTATTACCGTGCATCGACACCTGAAAATCGTTTAGGACGACAGCAATATACACTACTCAAAACACCTAAGAAGTTGGCACCAAGTAAATTTGGCCTCCTCAATCATTCTACGATAAAGGAATATTCTCTGGTGACAACGTTTTCTTTCGGCCATCATAACTGCTTATTTCGTTAACCCTTGCATAAGAGGGAACAAACTTCAGTAGGAGTTAGATGACGACACAACAGCCTTCTTCCTCGATCTGAGAGATAAGCTTGCCAAACACTCTAACAGGAATCGAGTAGTAGTAAATATTCCTGTCACTCCCTTGACCTAGTTTTTTAGAACCCATTGACACTTTTGCAGCTGAACTATATAAATTTCACTTCGTTTACAGACCATTGACGAAAAGGAAGCAGATAGGGATAACAGTGTAAGTCTTACAAGTAACGATAACTATTAGAAACATGTCTCATGGCTACTGTATTGGAAAGTCTCACTGACTGATGTAACACTGCTACTTACCTTCTGCAGGATGCAATGTTGGCAGAATCCAATTAAGAAAAGTAGTATGCGTTGGAATCATGCAGAACTGCAGCTGTGGTGAAAAGTGGCATGATTATAAAACCATCATGATTAATATACTCCTCTGGTGATATCATTCTACTTAACTGCATAAAATGTCAATAGTTCAATGAGGTTTTTTTCATTATGTGATGAAATTGCTTCGGAAAATTTAAATATATTACGCCTAATTGACAGATTGATGCTTTTTTAAACATCTCAATCGAAGGACTCATTAGTGTAGGTGTGATTGATGAATTTCATATACTTGATGTGTAATGTAGAGGCACAAACGAGGTAGGGTTGGAATTCAACGGCTTCGTGGTGGAAAAGTAGACAACAAGGTTGACTAAGGAAGACGTTAATGGTTGAGAGGAATTATAAATAATGGGAGTTCGTTGTTTTATTTTTATGCTTGTCTGCCATTTGTTTCACTTTTTTCTTCTCATGTAGTTCATTTTCTTCAGTCTGGTTATCATGTGTATAGGTTTATCAACGGTATTTAGATTTTATGTTCTATTGAGTCTAGTGGGATTATTTCTATTATTATCATCATCTCGGATTATTTCTTGTAGTTCTGAGAATTTTGTTTGAGGAGTTGCATTTCTTATAAAAGACAAAAACTGGACACTGCACTATGCTCTGGTGTTGAGTTACCGTCTGTAATACCTATGCATAACTCATATTTTAACTTCTTAAGTTGCATCATTTAATGTGAATTCAGCTACGACTTGCAAAAGTTACGGAGATAACTTACTGTGACGAGATTCTACTGGATTCCCCCTGCCCTGCCTTTTAACTTGATTTTTGAAGTTTTGCACTTTGGTATTTATAATTTTTCACTGAGTTACCAATGTCACGAACTTAATGTCTATTTGAAATTCCTGAACTTTAATTCTGAGATAATTCAACTGGGTTTCGTAAAAATAACTTAGAGATGATTGGGAAAGACTTGAATACTTATTTACTTCGAGATCACAGTGTTGGTAGTTCAGTGTTTTGCGGTCATAGATAGTAATCTTAATAACGCGTACTTTTGCTTTAAGCAGAAAAGAGTGGTCCGAAAAAATAAGTCCCTAAACATCGGTTAAAAACCACATGTGCTATATATATATATATCCCTTCATTTTTTTTTTACTTATTAAGAGCTGGTTAGAAACGACGGTTTTCTTATTCGTGCGTTCTAGGCCACTTAGTAGTCGCTCAGGGATGACAAGATTCTTTCGTTTCACTCTTTTTAATATTTTATGAACAAAATGGATATCGTTAGGTAACCATATTTTCTGTTAACCTGACTACCACCTTCTGGTTAACGAAGGCATTCGCTGGGATGCATGTTGATTTCGGTTGCACAAAATGTTTACTAGATTCATACCAATCACATAAACGCTGCAAAAAAGTGACTTCTCTGTGGTTGTACAACTTTTGCTGTAAGCTTGTCTGCCCTAAAAATGTACGCTTGAAGTGTGGACAATAATTGTCGTTGGATCCATTCAGACAGATAGACAGAATCAAATTAGAACGTTGCACACAAATGTTGTCGGTTCGAGTTGCCACACTTGAGAGTATTATACACAGAAAAAAGTGGATAGAAAATGAGTGATATCAAAGTACACAAAAATGCATAGGGGAGGGAAAATTAAAAAACCAAGTAAACTTTTAATGATAAGTTTCCACCAGGGATGTCCACTGTTACCGTTCCTGTTTAACGTCGTCTTACATGTACTAATTGATGTAACATCTGACTTCATAGGGACTGATCTACTCCCTTGAGGTTATCTAGTTGACTTGGAGTATGCAGACGATGTCTTTCTTCTACGTGAAGATGCTGACTCAATGTAGGTTATTCTGAACGAATGCGTTGAGCGGAAATCTCAGTATGTTTGTCATGTGTTTCTCTAGCACCTGTTAAATGCAAGATGATGCTTCAGGACTGGTCTTTTGCAAGTATTCCCAGTTTTGTAATAGTGATTGAAGTGGTGGAATATGTCGACCACTTCACATACTTGTAAAGGTGCTGACGAAATTTCAGCTCAGATACAGAAGACCCGTTCGACATTTGCCAATTTGCGTTCTGTGTGGCTCCGACTGTTGAGTTATGCGACTATCTATCAAAGGATGGATATACGGCACTGCAGGTCGTTTTGTCCTGTTATAAAGTTGGAAGACATGATTATTAGAAGTAGAAAACATGAAACGATTACTGTGTTTTGATCACAGATGTCTTCATAGAGCTACTCGCATTTGATGAATCACGTGTGAAATGCACTAGACAGAACGGGCAAGTCTATTGGTGAGGTTTTAAACCTCAGTCAACATGCACTGCGTATACTGAGCCACCGTCTACCTCTATGTACTATGCTAGGAGAATTTGGATTAGGTTGGAAGAGGGTTCAGGGTGGCCAGACCAAAACGTAGCACCAGTCCATGAAGTCTCTCACCGTTGGTGTGAGTAGTGTTGAGAGATGTAGACTGCATGGTTGGGGTCCTAGAGACGAAAGGAATCATTAGTTGAGGGATCTTGGCAATGTGAATGAAAGTCAATGACAATGGCGCAGATGTATTCACTCTATTCTTTGTATACTACTGTGAATTGTAGCAACTTGAAGCGGTGCACCTATGTGCTAGGTTTTACGTTAATTCTGTTCGTCTACCTCTGTCTATATCTTACCCTATCAGCTTACTTTAGTGGAATTGCATTCGATAGTAAGTTTTCTAGTTTAGTTGACATCATTACAAACCTGTTCATTAAGTTTTGTCACCATTACGATGGATAAGACCAACAAACGTTCATATGTATACTTCCTATGATGCTTGTTTCCATTTCGCTACTGGTTTACTTATGTTTTTTTCTTGTATTGTTTTCATTCCAGATCGCATCGTTATCTATACTTAATCTTGTTTAAATGACAGTTTAACTGGAGTCATCACCTTTGTAATGACCATTTACATAGAATTATCTACATAATGACAATGAAAAATGAGTCTATTATTTCATTATTTTCTGAATACTTACTACGTGAACATCGAAGTGATATATACAGGATTTCACTTCTTCATTCAGAACCTTATCAATCAGTTATTGTTCATTTCAATAATTTATGCGAATTCAACAGTATATTTTCAGAACTTCTTTTATCGAAACCTGAAGAGACATTGAATCTATTGAATAAAAGTGTTCGTCTAGTTCTACAGTCAAACAAGCCAGAAGATATTAAACACACTATTTGTCGACAAAATGTATATATACGCTTGACAGCTTTACCAGTTATACCAGAAGTGTATAAAAATCATATACCAACATCGAATGATATTGGAAAGTTTATTGCTCTCAGAGCTATTGTTAGTCGAGTTGGTCCCGTACAAGTTCTTGAAGGTGAAGCACAATTCACTTGTATACAATGTGGATACACATTTACTGTATATGCTAATTTTGAAAATCTTTATACAATTAAACCTCCACGTTATTGTCCTAATCGTCAACAATCATGTCATAGTATAAATTTAAAACGTGTATCCAATTCACATTTCTGTGCTAAAAATTATCAAGAGATTAGAGTACATGAACAGTTCAGTTGTTTAACAGTCGGAGTTATGCGACGATCAATGTGTGTTTGTATTGAAGATGATTTATTAGAGTCTGTAAAACCAGGAGATGAAGTAGTCATCAATGGGATTGTAACACGTCGATGGCGATGTATGAAAGAGGGTGCACCATGTGAAATTTCTACATTTCTTAAAGCAAATTATATCGAAAATTTAACTGAACTAAAAGCTGGTGGTGGACCAAGTCAAATATCTTATGAAAGAGTACTAGAGTTTGAAGCATACTGGAGTAAATATACAAATTTTCGTTCTGCTTTAGAGGCTAGAAATTTACTTATACGAAGTATTTGTCCAGAAGTATATGGAATGTATCTAATCAAATTATCGTTGGCTTTAATGCTTGCAAGTGCACCGGAATGGTATTCAGCATCTGGTAAGTCTTAAGGATTGTAATCAGTTATCAGTTTGCGTATATATATTTATTAGTTGAGTGGAGGCAATCAGCATAAAGCCCTTAACCTAAATTTTGTGATTTTAGTCACTCTTCAGCATGGCATACCTCCGACCTCGAGGGAACTGATGTCTGATACCTGAGATTCGACCGCTCTTCATCCAGTGTCGCAGTCGGAGACGTTACCACTGAGCTATTCGGGCCACGGTTGACCTCCTGAATAGTTCAGTGGTAACGTCTCCGACTGCAACACTTGGTAAAGAGCGGTCGAATCTCAGGCATCAGACATAAGTTCCCTCGAGGCTGCAGATATGCCTTGCTGAAGAGTGCTAAAAAACACGAAACCTAGGCAGAGCAGGGCTTCCTGCCGATCGATAACAAGTAATCCGAGTGTATTGTAGAATCCTTATTGAAGAATTGACTTGTCCGGACATTGGTTATTTTGTACACTTTATACTAAACCATGTGTATCTGAATATGTTATGCATCGATTCAGTGCTGTTTTATTCACTAGCAAGTTTTGTTGAGGTAAATGATAATCACGAACAAGAAAGCTGTAAAGCATGATATTTAAGTTCCTAAAGTTCTATGCAATGATTGTGAGGTTGGTTGCACGGTTGAAATCAGTCGATTAGGGTGGGTGAGTGGGGGATCAATTAGATTATTACAGCATAGTAATTTATCCAAACTTGACATGATAGACCCCATTTGGGGTAGTGATCTAAAAGGAAACTCAAATGTTAAAATGCATGCAAGAACACAATCATACTGTAAGGTGGGACAAAGTAACGATACTAAATCCCAGCACAGTAAGGTGGAGAGATAGTGATTCATTACTGAATCTTTATTCACCGAACTATCACCCAACACATGTGTAATAGGAATGACGTAACATCTACTCTAGTTTGAGGTGTGAAATATTCTGTTGCTACTGAAAATAAAATATTAGTTAACCAAACTATAGAAACAAGATATTCGAAGGTTTTTGATTACTTGATATAATTTATGAGTGATAAGTTTGTGCTGAAAACTTCATCACTTTATCACTGTGTACTATACCGAATAAACAAATCTGATATGAAATTATGAAACGCTACGCATCATCATTGGACAGAACATAGAATGCCAGTCAACTCTCTACCTCAACTTCATCGACTTTGAAAATGCCTTCGGCAGTGTCGGCCGAGAGTAATTTGGCAGTTGCTTCAATACTACGGAATACCACAAACCTTTATCAACCTCATTCAACAACTATATGACGACGCCACATGCCAAGTGATTCACAATGGGAAGCTCAGTGACGCCTTTGAGGTGAAGACAGGAGCAGGACAAGGGTGCCTACTATCACGGATGATCTTCCTGATTCTGATTGTGGTGGACTGGATCATGCAGCAAACCGTGAGGAGTGAGAAGATGGGCATACGCTGGCTGGACTGATAAAAAGACCCCAGAAGATTTGGATTTCGCCGACGATTTATGTCTAATATCTTGTAGCACAAACTCCAAGATGTACAGGCGAAAACTAACAAGTTGACAGAAGAGGCAGCGAAGGAAGAAGGGACTTCAAGTGAATGTAGAGGAGACAGAGGTGATGAAGATGCCCAACTAACAAGAGCATAAACAACAAGCTCCAGTCATCATCAACAGGAGAAATTTAAAGGAAATTGTCTCGTTCACCTACCTAGTCAGCATGGTTTCAACTACAGGTGACACAGATGAGGCCGTCAAAGCCAGGATCGGAACAATAACAACACAGGCTTTCATTAACTTGAAACCGATGTGGAGATCTATTGCACTCAGCATAAAGGGTGAACAAGATCCGGATTTTCAACACCAACGCTAGTCAAATCAGTGCTTCTATGTGATGGTTCAAAAACTTGGCGCGTCACGAAAGGCATTTCCAACAAACTACAGACATTCCTCAACAGCTATCTACGCTGGCTGGATACTGAAGCTATGCTGGCCAGAAAGAATAAGCAACAAGGAACTGTGGCTGGCAACGGACCAGCCACGAATCCATCACTCAATAAACAGGCGGGCGAAAGTAAAGATGGATTGGCCGTACACTGAGAAGGCCGATTGGGGACATAACGCGTCAGGCCAGGCTGTCGAGTGGAAGCCAAATGGTAAACAACGAGTTGGGCGTCCGAGGTGAGGGTGACATGGAGGAGATCATGTGAGAAAGAAATGAAAACTTGTGGACAGTCTTGGTGCCAGGTTGAGAAGAATGCAGAGAAGAGAGTGAAATAGCGACATGCTGCTGAAGCGGTATGTTCCACTAGGAACCCAAGGGACAAATAATAATAATAATACGGTGACCAAGTTATTACCCTTTTATTCGTATTTAACTAGTGTCGATTAATTTTTGTTCAGGTGTATATGTAACTGAGTCATTTCCGCTTATTGAATGTTTTTCCTAAGAATCGTAAAACCGAATTCGTGTATAGTTTTTGGCATCACTCATTAGACTACTTCTAACATGCAGGTTTACTTAAGTTTAACTTTTGATTCCTATCGTATCAGGAATTTTATGTTTTAAATAACAAATACTATGACGTATTTGTGTCTATGTTGTGCTCTTGCCAAATATGTTTCATTTGATTAACAAATAAACTTGTTTGTAATCCATGCTATATAAATATGTATAATGTTCCCATCTATCATAATCAGAGTCAGTTATGAGGCCGAAATAGCACTGATCGATTGAATCCTAGTTGAGAGTTTCCTGTGTACTGTTCAGTTGAACGGTGTTGTAACAATTAAAAAGGACATTAAGAGTCGATGTTGCCTCTTTGTAGTCTCCGCTGACTTCGTTTTGGATGAGGTGAAACATAAAGCCTCTAGCCTCTTACTGAAAGTCAAGCATTCAGATGTAGTTGTCGTTGCAGATGATTTCAAGGCGTAGATAGATCAAATCAGTTAGACAGAAAGCTACTTTCCGCATCCCTATCGAACAAACGAATGACAAAGGTGGCCTGCTACAATTGTGCTCAAACAACCACCTATTTGTACTCACCACCAACCATACCGACCTCCACTCATTACTCGACACAGACTGATCATATTACTATCAGCTATCGTTGGAAACAGCCGATGAAACATTACTCCTCTCCCTCTTGAGGACGTGTTTAGTCAGTCATTATATATCGGTTAGAACATGTTTATGCCTACTCTTAAACGAACGTAGAGAAACTAAAACTACAGGAACATTTCAAGTGCTGTATAATAATGATGATGATAGTATTAAGGTTGCTTTCACAAAGCAGCAAGCTAGAGGTTTGTCGGAACAGGAAATCATCCATCCGAAAAGAGCCTGACATCATCTCCAATCTACTGCATAAACAGTTTTGAAGACTAATGACCCACCCAAAAAGGTTACAGAAGTAAGGACCAGTGGATCCCAGGAGCTTTTGCTAGCATAGTGTATGTGCGTAGATGTATTTCCGATGGCTGAAACTAACTGAAATGGAAGCTGATAAAGAGTCTACACAATGGTCGTGAGCAATAATGGGCAGCGAATCCCACCTACTGGTGCCGGACACTAGTGGTATTTCTCGTCCTGAAGACGGCATTTAACTCCGTCGTTCATGAGGTCTTATGCCAATGTTTTCAAATGAATATCAATGAACTTGTTAGAGTCTATCGTGAGTTATTAGGTACGTTGTATACGTCGAATGGCGTCCTTCAAAGGTTTCCACTTTCTCCACTCTCACTTAATTTCGTCAAAGAAGTATCTATCGAGATCTTCTCCTCTTGGATTTACTCTAAAGGGGTTCATCCTGTCACTGTTGACTTCTTCCTGGAGTTTGAATATGCATATAGTGTAGTACTACCGGATAAAGACTCTGACAAGTTGCAGAATCTACTAGACACATTGAGTGACAATCTAGGTTTGTTTTTGATGTGTTTCTCGCTACTCAAATGCAATTTGTTGCTCTAGGACTGGTCAGCGTTGGTATCTTGCTTAACAACAGGAAGTGAAGGGGTTGAGCGCGTTGATTACATCACTAGGATGTCTGATCAGTCCTAGTGAGTCAGTGACCGATGAAATCTCTGCATAGATACAAAAAGCTAGTTTGACTTTCGCCAACTTACACCATTCATGTTATTGGTAAAACATTCAACTGCACAAAAATGGCCGAGTGTCCTTGCACAAGTTTACTCTGTTCTACTTCATGGCTGCGAAATATGACCATCAAAGTTGGTGAACATAATAAGGCTTCAGGTGTTGACTTACCGTTACCTTCGTAGCATATATTGTGTGTTGTAGTACCGTCACGTTAGTGAGGCGTAGAGTTTTACGTAGAACAGGTAAGTCGATTGATAAAGTTTTGAACTTTAATCGAATAAGACGGTTCGGACATCTACTGGGCATGCCGAGCCACTGCCTACTTCTTTGCACGATGCTAGGGGAAATTGGATAGGGTTGAAATATAGTTCAGGGCGATCAGACCAAGACGTATCACCAGTCCATGAAGTCCCTGATTTTTGGTCGGAGTTGTGTGGGGAGATGTAGACTGCTTAGTTAGAGTCTCTGAGACGAAAGGAACCACTCCTTTCTTATCCACCTTTTGTTTGTGGACTTCTGTGAAGCTTGCCAACTTCAGGTGATGCACTTATACGAGGTTCTACGTTGATTCTGTTTGTCTCCCTATTTTGTAGGAGTGCCCATGGACATCATTAAAGGGTATACGCAGAGACGTTTAAGACAAATTAATCTTGAAGGTAGAGAATATTATTATAACTATCAAGCTTCTGTGGATTTTTATTGTTTGCATGGCTATTTTCAATTCAATCTTCAACCTTTAGGTGAAATTGTCTTACATAACCCTTATCCTAGGGAAACCATGATTTGACATATCGATAGGCGCAAAATTGAGACCGAAAAAAATCTTTTTCTACTGCTTTTTTTTTCCCATAGACAATCAACTTAATCACCTTTTACTTTTACTCTGACCATCAGAAAAACAATCCTGTATATCGCACGTACAGTGTGTCTGTGTCATTGATGCTTGTACTTAATGTGGTGTATAAAAAAAAGATACGGTTTCGATTTCGCTGGCTGATATATTTTAACAATGCAAAGGTATTTACTGAATAAAATGAATTCATTTTGTTTCATGGCCTTTCATCAGTTGTAAACAGCGCCTACAATTGAATTGAAGTATTAGTAGTGATAATGGCACTATTATTATTATTGTTATTTATTTGTACCTTGGTTTCCTAGTGGAACATAGGCTTCAGTAGGGCGCCTCTATTCCACTCTGTTCTCACCAGTCTTTTGAACCTCGCCACGACTACCCACAAGCTCTCATTTCTTCCCCGCATGATCTCCATGTCATCCTCGAACGCCCAACTCGTTGTTTCCCATCTGGGTTCCACTCGAGTACCTGGCCTGTCGTGTGATGTCCCCAATGGATCTCCACATTGGTTTCAGGTTAATGAAAGCCTGTGTTGCTATTGTTCCAATCCTGGCTTCGACGTCCTCATCTGTGTCACCTGTAGTTGAAACCATGCTGACTAGGTAGGTGAACGAGACAATTTCCTTTAAATTTCTCCTGTTGATGATGACTGGAGCTTGTTGTTTATGCTCTTGTTAGTTGGGCATCTTCATCACCTCTGTCTCCTCTACATTCACTTGAAGTCCCTTCTTCCTTCGCTGCCTCTTCTGTCAACTTGTTAGTTTTCGCCTGTACATCTTGGAGTTTGTGCTACAAGATATTAGACATAAATCGTCGGCGAAATCCAAATCTTCTGGGGTCTTTTTATCAGTCCAGCCAGCGTATGCCCATCTTCTCACTCCTCACGGTTTGCTGCATGATCCAGTCCACCACAATCAGAATCAGGAAGATCATCCGTGATAGTAGGCAGCCTTGTCTTGCTCCTGTCTTCACTTCAAAGGCGTCACTGAGCTTCCCATTGTGAATCACTTGGCATGTGGCGTCGTCATATAGTTGTTGAATGAGGTTGATAAAGGTTTGTGGTATTCCGTAGTGTTGAAGCAGCTACCAAATTGCTTCCCGGTCGAGATAATAGCATAACGTACGTTAAATATATAGAAATAACTGGAGATTTGAAGTCCAGGATTAACAATAAGGTGGTGAATAAGTCAAAGAGACACAAGAAATATAATTACAAACCATAGTCATAACTAATGGCAATTTATATCTGATGAAGTAGAAAATTCTGGAGCTGTGGATTCGGGAGGACAACAAACGAAAATCAGTGTAAAAGAGGGGGGACTGTTCAAGAGCCAATAGATTACGTAATTACATGAAAAAACTGGAAAATCGTTAAGTGATTAAAAGTCACCAAGTAATTAATGAAGCGATGATGCAATCAAAAGAAAAGGGAAGGCTATACATACATATACATATAGAAAAAACTATATACATTTACGAAGGTAAATAAAGATTAATTACAGTCTTCTTCTGAGTACATAGGTCAGGTTAAAAATGTTTGATAACAAGAGCTTCTTTAAACCGTAATTAGCATGTCCATATTCCATGTTGTCACCACGTGAGTAACACAGAATTCAATTGACACGGTTATGAACGCTTATCAACTGAGATGGTTGGGACATGTGTTATGTATGCCTAGTCGTCATGTGCCTCGTCATATAATGTTGGCCGAAGTAGGTTTAGGCTGGAAAAAGGCTACGGCGGTGGGGTGACAGACTGAAACATGGCATCAATGTATGAAGTCGTTGACTGTTGATTTGAGCCATATGGGGCGATGCAGATTAGTCGGTTTGGGTCCGTTTCACAATAGAAATGAGTGGTTGGAGCCTGACCCTAAGTGACGACATGGCTGTTAACCGATGGCATTGGCGTAGATGTACCCGCACACACATTATCCTCATCTTAACGACGCTTTATCGAATCCCACCACTCTCTATCTCTCTGTCTCTTTTAGTATGTTATATTTCTTTCGACTGAGTTTTCTTTTGTTCATTTACGACTTCACTGCCTTGTTTACTTGATGTAGTGATATGAAGTGTGGTAATTGGGACGATTACGCAGTAATATCTGGTTATTTGTTGATTTGGACGGTGGATAATGATGGCATTCCTTGTTTGTTGATTATCCTGAAGGATTGAGAAACATGTGTTTGATGTCCTGTTTCTATCAGATGCCTGGCGATTGCTCTCTTAAAGACTTTGCTACCATGCAAATGTCTTTGTTTCTATATTGTTCAGATTTTGTCAAGGGAACTAAATGTATGATATGCTTTATTCATATAATGTCATATTATGCTGAAAACATTTTCATAATTGTTAATCATAGTATAAATTCAATAATTTAATGTTTTCATATAGATGATTCTGGAACAGGAGTTGATGAATTGTCTGTACGTATTCGAGGCAATCCTCATATTCTACTCATTGGTGATCCTGGTACTGCGAAATCAGTTCTACTGCGTGGATGTACAGCTTTGTGTGAGAGAGCTGTGCTAACAGCTGCAACAGGTACTACTGCAGCCGGTTTGACTGCTACAGCTATACGTGATTCTAGTGGTTGGACACTTGATGCTGGTGCTCTTGTTTTAGCTGATGGTGGCTTATGCGCTATTGACGAGTTTACTGCATTACATGGTGCTCATCGTGCAGCAGTCCATGAAGCAATGGAACAACAAACTATTAGTTTAGCTAAAGCTGGTCTTATGGCTCGACTTAATTGTCGTTGTTCTATACTAGCAGCTGCTAATCCAACTCCAAGTTCTGTTGCAAATGGAAGTGAAGATTTCGGTCTACCAACTCCACTGTTAAGTCGTTTTGATATCATATGGCGGCTAGTTGATCCAATCGATTCAACGGAATGGGATCGTCGAATAGCTAACTTTGTCTTGGATTTAGATCAACCAACAAATGACGTTAGGAATAAAGGAACAACAAAAGTAATTATTTTTTTTTTAAATGAAGGAATCCCTGCTTTATAATGAAAAGAATGTAATTGAGTAGAAGTATGGGTGATTGGTGTAGAGACTTGAATTTTGAGTGGATGGATCACGGGTTTGAGCCGAGGTCTGAGCAGTCAGGTAGTATTATTAGCACCTCATACACAATAGGTGTAGCTTATTATCTACTCTGCGAATTTGCATAAGATTGCTGAGTGAATTTCGATTCTCGAAATTAAAGTAGCCCAACTGCTTAAACGTTAGTAGTTGTTACAAGATGCAAAGCGATTACCTACTTCAGTTTTAGATTCCTTAAACTAGTCAGCTAAATTGATCTTGGTTCTTCATTTTGTGTGGGACTCGTCGGCCGAATGTACCTGTATCCCAGTGAGTGATGTCATTCCTACTGAGGCTCGAAACCAGTACCCTTCGCTTCAAACGCTAAGCAACTGCGGCGTGATGGCCACCTCTTGTGCACTGGGTTTAGGCATCAGTGGGAACAACATCACTCACTAGGATGAAAGTACATCGAGCTGACGAGTCCCAAATAGGACAAAATGCACGTCCTGAACTCCTTCGCTAGTCGCCAAGATCAATGTAACATCATGAATACTTTCACCGATGATCTTCCTGATTGTCGTCGACTGGATCATGCAACAAACTGTGAGGAGTGAGAAGAGGCGCATACTCTGGACCGATGAAAAGATGCTAGAAGATTTAGATTTCACCGATGATGATTTATGTCTGATGTCTTGTCACACAAACTCGAAGATCTACAGGTGAAAACCAACAAGTTGATAGGAAAGGCGTGGCAGCGAAGGAAGACGGCATTCCCTTCAGGTAAACGTAGAGAAAACAGCGGTGATGAAGATACCCAACCAACAACAACAAGCACCAATCACCATCAAGGAGAGCAGCATCCACTCAACTACAAGAGGTGGGGGCACATGTGAGGACGTCAAAGCCAGGACCGGAAACACAGCAAGACAGGCCTTCCTTCTTTAATTTGAAATCAGTGTGGAGATCTCCTGCACTCCACTCAGCATAAAGTGTGAACAGCATCCGGATTTTCAACACTAATGTCAGTAGAGTCGCTGCTTCTATGTGATGGTTGAGACAGTTGGCACGTTACGAAAAGCATTTCCAAAAAAACTGCACACATGCATCATGAGAAGCTGCCGCCTACGCTCACTCGATACTGAAGATCGATTAGATGGCTAGAATAATAAGAATCGGCAACAAAGAACTCACTGAAGCAAGTGTACATCAATTAGATTGGACATACACTGAGAAGACCGTTTGGAGACATCACGACGAGTTGGGCATCTGAGCCGAGGGTGACGAGGAGATCATATGAGGAAGAAATAAAGACGTATGAGTAGTGGTGGAGCCAGGTTACAAAGACTGGAGAGAACAAAGTGAAATGGCGATGTGCTAGTAAACCCCTATGTTCCAATAGGAACCCAAATAGACAAATAATATAGTAAAATTATGTTACATGTAAGTGGCATGTAGATAAGCAGTCGAGAAGAAAAGAAATGATGCTTGACAGACGGCTTTGGTATTTGTACACCACAATAATGATGAGTCGTTATGACTGTCACACAGTCTATAGTGTTAGATCGAATTTTTCACCTCATCAATCTACTGAAGTGTACAGATACACAAGTTATGAATCGAAATAAACTTGGCAACCATATGTCCCATATTCTTACCGTAGGCACTAAGTTATACCTACTGTGTTAGGCAGCTAATCATACTAGATGACTGTCGAAGACTCGGTAGGCGAAGACACGTTGGAATCTGTGGGTTATCGGTTGAAAGAAAGTCGAATCCTTACGTCCATAAGCCATAGCTGATGTTGTGTCATAGGATATAGTACTATTTTGTACTGTAACAATGGCTATTATACTTTTTTACAGTTTAGAAGTAACATTCATCTAGGTACAAAATATGGTTTGGTCGAGTAGTTACAGTTCATTGTGACTGATTTGAATCCTGTTGTGGCTGGAGTTTTCATTTCACCTTCAATCATCGCCCAGTATTAATAATGCAAGTCTACCAAACCATTACTATCTCAAATGGTCAAAGTGATGCTCAATATGATGCTGCTCCCCTACTCTAATTCAATTAGATTTAGATTGGGGTGAAAAGTCTTGACTAATGGGTAGCCAGTGTGACTACGATCAACCGGTAGTAACGCGTTATAAATTCACATGATAGTTGAGCAAACTCCGTGGTGATTGATGAAGTGAAATAAAAACGTGGTCAGCAGTCGGGCTTTGTAGCTCCAGTTGGTAGAGTACCGGGCCGAAGATCTATCTATCTATCTATCTGTCCAAATTAAAGAAGGACCAGCCACTACTGCTTAACTGCTTAAGTTGCCACACCTCACATCACTACATCAAGTAGAAAAGCAATGAAGTGGGAGATAAAGAAAAGAAAATTCAGTCGAGAAAAAATATAAAGTACTAGAAGAGAGAGAGGAAGAATGAGAAAATGGTGAGATTGGATAAAGCGTCGTTAAGATGAGGATAATGTGTGTGGGGGTACATCTACGCCACTGACATCGCTTTCCAGTCATATAGCCTAAACTCTCCGACCGACCAGAGACCCGGTGACCGCTGGTTCGAATCCGGCCGTGGTCGGAATTTTCATTCCACCTTCAGTCATCACCCAGTATCAATAAAAGTCTGCCAAACCACGGCTATCTCAGATAATCAAACGGACAAATTTACATCTAACAAATTGAGTGTGGTGGGTTTGTGGAGAGGGGAGGGAGGAACAACTGGTGTTTCCCAACCAGATACTTGTAAAGGGAAATCAAAATTACACAAATAAACTAATGAATATTAGAGTGGGAGAACTGAATTAAATGTGTTGTCACCGAGTGGTAGGGTTGCGCGCGTGGGTCTAATGTTACTGAGACTCAATGGACACCTCAACTGAATACCTTTACGAGTGACCTCTCTCAGTACCTTTTGCTTCACTGAGCTGCGGAGAAATCAGAAGACAAAGACAGCCTTTGACTGCAAGAACAGGGACAACATTTATTGGGCAAATACATGACATATGTATATACAAAACTCTCAGAAAGTGAAGCCATAAATGAACCAATCAGATTTCTTGTATGAGTTCGAATTCCTCCAATAAGGTTCTCATGTCAGCGCATGCATAAATCACGACTTGAACATGATCTGATCATGACTTGAAGACAATTCCCCCCTATTGGCTGCCTTTTTGTCGCTACGTATCAAAGTTAAAGGGCAACGAAAGCATCAGTGTTTGTGTACGCTTAACTCTAATTTCAAGATAGCACCAACAACTACTTTTGTTGTCTGAAGAGAAGATGAAGGTTTACCCCGCCCTCCCCATATGGTAGTAGTCGATTTAACATATCGATGAAAAAACTGAGTATAGTATCCTAATCCCTTCTAAATGGGTTTGTCTCGATCAGCATGCTTATATCCAAATAGTGATAGTTTCTACTTTGTTTAGTCAATCATTATTTTGGTATTTATATCTCCTAATGAGAATATAAAACAAAATTAATTCGTTTCAATTGGCCTTGTACTATAGAATCCTGTTAATAGCTTTATCAAAGTTACAATAAACCGGAATTCACAATATCTTCCAAGCCCTATATATGGATAACTTGACAAGTATTCTCCTGCTTAAATGATTCGACGTTGTCAGAATTGTAGAATAAAGATGATTACCATATATGGTGTGTGTTGTGTATGAATTACAAATTGAGATTTGTATGTACACATTTGTGTTGATATAGGTCTTATCGTATTCATTATGATTATGTCAAAATGTAAGGGTTGGTTGAGTCCAGATCAAACTATGCTTTACTCCCTCCCTTATTCCTCTTTAGACAGTTATGTTTCTGCTATGAGACATTCTTGATAATTTCTAAAGCCGCCTTACTGAATAATTTCGATGTTGTCAAGGATTGTATGTACTGTACAGCAGTTCGCTCTGTTCTACGCTATGGCTGTGAAATATGACCATTGAAGGTAGAAAACATGAGAAGGTTTCAGATATCTGACAACCGTTGCCTTCGTAGTAAAGACCCTATTCCGTGGTGTCACCATGTGAGTAACGCACAAGTCATGCGTAGAGTTTTTGGGGAGAAGAGGTAAGTCAGTTGACGATGTTTTGAACCTTCATCGAATGAGATAGCTGACTGGGATGTGTTACGTAGGCCTAGTCACTGTCTGCCTCGTCACACAATGTTGGCCGAAATAGGTTCAGGCTGGAAATGGGCTCAAGACGATCAGACTGAAATATGGCATAAATGTATGAAGTCGTTGACTGTTGATTTGAGCCATATGGGGGCGATGCAGATTAGTCGGTTTGGGTCCGTGTGATAAGAGAAATGAGTGGTTGGAGCCTGACCCTAAGTGACGACATGGCTGAGAACCGATGGCATTGGCGTAGATGTACCCGCACACACATTATCCTCATCTTAACGACGCTTTATCGAATCCCACCACTCTCTATCTCTCTGTCTCTTTTAGTATGTTATATTTCTTTCGACTGAGTTTTCTTTTGTTCATTTACGACTTCACTGCCTTGTTTACTTGATGTAGTGATATGAAGTGTGGCAGCTGGGACGATTACGTAGTAACGTCTGGTTATATGTTGATTCGGATGGATGAATGGATGGTTGCCAGATGGGTATATCGATTGCACCGAAGTTGCGGTTACTTACGCCTTGCTGGTGAGTACTTAATAGAACAAAACCTAGGTCCCACACCTTCCTACCAGTTGCCTTCAACTAATGAACATCCTCGAGATTTCGACATTAATCATACAGAAATTTTGGTGATTCCCTTAAGCTGGAAATGCAGTTATGTTGTTATTTTTCCTTTGGGTTCCTACTGGAACATACCGCTTCTGTAACACGCCTCCATTGCTCTCTCTTCTGGCCAGTCTTCTCAACCTGGTGCCACGACTGCCTACGAGTTTTCATTTCCTCCCCACACTATCTCCTCCATGTCACCCTCACCTCGGACACCCAACTCTTCGTTTCCTTTTTGGATTCCACTCGAGTACCTTGCCTGGCGCGTGATATCCCCAGTCGACCTTCTCAGTGTATGGCCAATCCATCTCCGATTTCTTCTTCTGCGCATTTGTTGGTTGATAGATTCTTAGTTGGTTCGTTGCCAGCCACCTACAGTTCCTTGTTGCTTATTATTATTATTCTGACCATCTGATCGATCTTCAGTATCCAGTGAGCATAGGCGGCAGCTATTGATGAATGTCTGTAGTTTGTTGGAAATGCTTTTTGTGAAACGCTAAGTTTCTGAACCATACAGAAGCACTGACTTGACGTTGGTGTTGAAAAACTGGATGTTGTTCATGCTTTATGCTAAGTGCAGAATATCTCCACACTGGCTTCAGGTTAATGAACTCTGTCTTACTTTTTCCGATGCTGGCTGGTTTTGACATCCTTGTCTATGCCACCACCGCCTGTAGTTGAAACAGTGCTGCCTAGATAGGTGAAAGAGATTACTTCCTGTAAGTTTCTCCCATTGTTGGTGATTGGTGTTTCTTGTTAGTTCGGTATCTTGATCACCTCTGTCTTCTCTACATTCACTTGAAGTCCCGTCTTCCTTTGCTGCCGCTTCTGTCAACTTGTTAGTTTTCGTCTGTAGATCTTCGAGTTTGTGCAACATTAGACATAAATCATCGGAAATAAAGTTGGTTAGTTGTAAAACATGGGATTAGGGTGCGAAGAATATTAAGCGTTGAACCACCGTTGCTTTTGTAGCACTGACCATCTGTCGTGGGACTATCGCACCAGTAACATAAGAGTCAGGCGTAAAATTTTGATGAAAAGAGATAAGTCAGTTGTTGTTCATCAACTCAGATTTCTGGAACCATATAAGATGTGACATAATCATTTATGCGAGGTTGAAGTTTATGGAGAACCAGATGTTTTGTTGTCTTAACAATGATAAACTGAGCTGCATAGTTTTATGTTTTACTGAATACCAGATTTTAATCTCTTCTTCAGTATCATACTACTCATTTCCCCATCTATATGGTACTTTAAGAAATATATTTCCTTCTTCGGGACCAAGGAAAATATATTTTCATTTATAATGGTTTAGATTTTACTATTTATATATTATATAATGTTGTCAATTTTAAGCATCATCTTTGGTCTACAAATGATTTGAAAGAATATTTTGTATGGATTCGTGATCGTTTTAAGCCACAGTTAACAATGGCTGCTGCTAATCTTCTTCAACGTTATTATATTTGGCAACGAAGTCAAATGTCCAATTTCTTTGATGATACTATAACAGGTGTATATGGTAGACGAACATTACGTTTACTAGAAAGTCTTGTACGACTAACCAAAGCACATGCTAGATTAATGTGTCGAAATGAAGCTATTGTAGAGGTAAGATTATTTTTTAACTTGTTGTTCAATGATTTCTTTGGATAAATTTTTTAATGATTGAAATGAATCTGTATACGTTGTCATTGTTTGTCGATAAATTATTTTATCGATTCAATAGAGTGGAAAAGGCTATCAGATTAGATAACTTGAGATTTTCTTAATCATAATCATATGTGTAATTTATACAGTACTTTTGACATCTGATTTCTATTGTCCTGTCACCTGATACTATTTGCTTCTATTCGCAGTAAAGTTTTCTATATCTCTGGCATAGGTGAGTGTTGCGTCATTTCTATTACATATCTTGGGTGGGAAAAGATTCGGTAATCAATCCCTCTCTCTCTCTCTCTCTCTCTCTCCCTCCACCTAATTACATAAGTACAGTGGCTTTATCCCAATCCATTGTATGGTTGTGTGGTACTGCATTATTGATCTTATTCAGGTTTTTCATTCTGTATTTAGTTCAATTCCTATGTTTCACTCTCCTAATTGATCCCCAACCAGCCAGTTTAGTTTGACCTATGTACTTGACCTCACCAGCCATTGCATAAAACTTGATACATTATAATATTTCGCTTAATTGGTTCTATGCGATCCTTAAGCCACCCGATAAAGTTTATCAGTGAGTGAGTTTGTAGGTTTAAATGTCACCGTAATTCCAGCCTTGCTGAGAATCTTACGTGGAATTTCTCATGTACCTTCCTTATAGAGTAACACAATGGAGGCTGTGAACTCCTTTCTTCTTGTGTTGTTGTTATTATTCATACTCGTGTTAGTGTTATTATTTCGTTTCTTATGTGTTTGTGCGAATTTTTTTAGTAAACTGTAGGGGATAATTATTAACTATTTATGCTTTTTTTAATGTGTTTCGGTTCCTTGCACTGGAGTAGGATCCTCAACAAAGCTGGAATTAGGGCAGCATTTAAACCTACAAACCCACTCGGAGATAAGCTTTGTCGGTTGGCTTAAGTATCCGATAGATCTAATTACGCAAAATAGTCTAATGTACGATATTCCATGCAGTGACTATTAGGTCAAGTCCATAGGTGAAACTATCCGATCGGGGTCAATTGGAAGAGTGGAACATAGGAATTTAGCTAAATATAGAATGATAGACTCTGATAAGATCAATAATCTAGAAAGACACTCGGTTATTGCAATGCATCGATTAACACACAATCACACAGTAGAACGGGTGGGATAAAACCGCTGTACTTAAGTCGAAAATAATTAGGTGGAGAGAGGGAGAGATTGATTACTGAGTCTTTGTTCATCGGGTCAACACCCAGCCAACACGTGTAATATTTTAAGGGAGTTGTGGGGATCTACAAAAATATTTCAAGTTGTTATCCATCATAGACTGACATCAATTGGAGAAACAAAGAAAACCTGGGAGCACTGGACAGTCGTTTCGTCTTAGTACGGGACTTCTCAGCAGTGCGCACCCGCGACCTTAAGGATCCGTGGCCAGCACGTTATCACGTTACCATATCATGAGCTAACAGAAGTTGGAAATATGGACCCATTGGATTCTGACCCAGTGGCTCAGTGGTAACGTGCTGGCCACGGAACCTAAAGGTCGCGGGTTCTATCCCTGGCGGGGTCTTGGGTGCGCACTGTTGAGGAGTCCCGTACTAGGATGAAACAGTTGTCTGGTGCTCTCAGGTTTCCTTTGTTCCTCCAACTGATATCATTCTATGGTGAACAACAACTTGAAACATGTGTAATAGAGATGATACAACACCTACCTGTTCCAGAGATATGGACAATTTTACTACCAATAAAAGCAAAGTGTCAGTGACATAACTATAGAAGTCAGATGTAAAAAGTGCTGTCTGATTATGTTGATATGATTATGAACAGTAATAATCTTAGCTGTAAACGCTGTCATTAAGTGTTTGCTGTATATCAAATAAACAAATGTAACATGGAATTAAATTCTACCACAGTTTTACACACTTACATTAACTTGAGATTTTATTGCAAACGACTGAGAATCGAAGGTATTGAGGGTTAAAAGGCGGAGGATGACTTCTTCAATATATCTTATTTAGATACTTTTCTTATCCTTCTCTAACTTCATCATCATCATCATTATCAACACAGATGAGACACTACTGCATACAGGGGTTCAAGTTGCATCACCTTACCTCTCATATCAGCATATCAGCAAGTAATAAAGCGATGAAATGAAACATGAAGAAACGGAGGAAAATTGATCAAAAGTAGTAGCAATTAGTAAAACAGAGGAAGGAGAACTGATAAAACTTTGAATTCCGTATGATGATCAGGATAATGATAATGTGTTGATACTTCGGCGCCACTGACATAGATTCTCAATCATTACCAACTAGAGTCTCCAACCATTGGTTTCTCTTGTCCCATGGAGGCAAAGTAGGAAGTTCATATTTCCCTACATGGCTAAGACTAACAGTTAGAGAATCCATGCAATGATGTCATGTTGTAATCTGGCCACCCTGAATCTTTTTCCAGCGTGAACCTACTTCAGTCAACGTTATGCAACAGAGCAAACGATGACTAGACAAACGTAATACATGTCCTAGCCATTTGAGTTGATGAAAGTTCATGACATCATCATCATCATCATCTTTATAACACTGCTATATTATTGTGTGTGGTGCGGGCCTTGATGCCTATCTTGAGGGATATTTTACCTCATAAAAATATAAAGCATTTCGCTTTCAACCAAGGGTGTCATGATTTCGGACGCTCTCCGTCTACCGAGGTTCGGTTAACTAATTACCATGATTAGCCCACGTACTGTACTCACACACGATTACGGACGCCAATTACGAACTCTTATAATACTCGACTGAAATTATCTATTTGTTTTAAGCCGAAATTGAAATTAAGCTTGGTTGTTGGATTCCACCATTTCTCTTTAACTTGCCATTGGTAACATTCCCAAAACACCTCTTCTAATGGAAGTATATGGTAATAATTTAGACTTGCTACTTCGCAACGACGTCTTAACCTAGAGGATACAGACACTATCATTTTACCGTGCGATAACATACATTATCCGTAAGTATGATGTGTGCTTAGCGCCATAAAAACAGAAAATACCTCTACAAGATTGATAGAAGACTGTACCTCTACTCACTATTGATAATGAACCATTGGAAGAAATTGGGAAGTTGGTGTGCTGCAGTAGTTGTGTGAATCCTGATAAGAGGTGTAGCTGACTAAAATTCTAAGCGTATATCGAAACCGGAGTGGTATGAGCTAATCTCGGTTACTTTTTGATGTTAAACTTGCTGTAAACAACAGGATATTGTAACACACAGTTGCAGGCAATTCAGTCATGCTCCTATGGAATCTAACCTCGCCAACTGAGGATGTCCGATGAATCTACATTTTCTGAGGTTACATGATTTGTTTAGGCGTGATAGAAATTGTAGTCATTTGGAAAAAAAATTGTCTTTGGTGATTTGACGACTAAATCGTTCACGGTTCGCATATCCTGGGAATGATTTAAAGAAGTGGAGAGGTGGTTAGTGCATAACATGGCACCCTAATATGAAGCATGTGTAAATACCTCATGACTATGCAAAGGGGGTCCGATAACTACGGGGCTCAGTGGCTTAAGATGATATTAGATATGACAGAGTACTGGAGATCATCCCACAGCTTTCTTGTTTCTTCTACTACTGAAAAATGAAACGCAAGTAGTAATACTCTTTTGAATGCATTTTTAAAACCGCTCCTTTAGTAATCCATTTACCTTTTTATTTCAACACTACTTCCCTCTTCCTGTACCAACTTTTTGCTTTCATAATGTTACTTTCTTATTTTTATGGCACCTCTCATGTACTCATTACGTATTAAATTTTTGTCTTAAATAAATGTGTTGTAGTGCATCAGGTGGATATTTTATACATATGAATAATCATAGCGTTTTTAGTCGAAATTATGGATCCTTTCCCACAGAAACACTACGCAGATTGCATTTTAAGTTAGCCAACATAACAGCTTAATCGACAGATACTACTAAATAGCAAATTGAGTAGTTGAAAATCATTCAGAGTGATCTATCAATTTCGCAGGCCACATAAGAGTAATCTAAACACCGTGCGGTCATCATGCTTTAAAATCATACTTGATCAAGCGATGAATATGTCGCTATATGTCATTTCAATTATCTGATACTATTTGCTGAGCTTCACTTGGTCAGATGGATCCATCAAGCCATGGTTCAGTGGGCAATATAGTCGAAGCTAGCCAATCGTTTTTAAGATCAGCTGATTCCTAGAACAGAGGTAGCCAATATCCTCATTAACTATCGAATGATCAACGTAAATATAATATTGCTATGTTTTGCGAGCAGCTATGACCAGTAACGATGCACGATATCCACTGTCAGCCACAAACATTCAACAATCTCCTAGTTGATTCATGACCCAACCAATTGATAGAGGAAACACTATGTACATCCAATAACACGTATTGGGGTCGAAAACTAAACAACAAACGAAAATATATCTAATATATATCGAGATAGTTGGCCACCTGAAATGATCCTGCTGACTAGATAGATGATCCACAGTCTCTCTTGTCTGTCTGTCTGCCTGCCTACCTGTCTGTCTGTGTGTCCATCTAACTGTAGACGTGATAACATGAAGTGCATTTTGACTGCTCATTCCTACCAACTAGTCTTTCCTCTCCATCCACATATCATCTCCCTCTTCGGATAAATGTTATTTGCAGTCAGACTGGACAGCACTGTCTTTTCATCGCATCTATCTGACCGAATCACATCGAGTTTCTCCTTGTTCACTAGAGGATCAGTAGTCTTCTTCACATTATTTCCACTGGCATGTCGATGGACAGGGCATGAAAACAAGCTATCAAGTCTAGAGATTTATTTACCTACCGATCGAGAATGAGATTTGCAGTGATATCTGGAGGATGACCTTTTCAGACATAGTTGGTATATGTTGGCAGCAAAAGCCGTCCTCGTGGCTATCAGCGTGCGTTACACTCCTGGCATCCATGTTGTATAGGTGGACTAGATTCGACGAAATACAAGGCACCACAATGTTAGCAAAGCAACGAAGGTATCTCTTTCGACAGTTGGATGGTGTCGCATGAGTTACTGTTCCGATGAACAGATGAGATGAAACCAGATGGTAATGTGGAGGAATGAGATATCTGGCGAATTGTATGTACTCCAGAATCACCCTCGTCTCCAGATTGAGGTAAACTCGAATCACACTGGATGTTACCAATTGGTTGATATTCTGTGGTGTCGAAACTACAACCACGTGGTTTGTGTGACAAAATCATGTCACACACAGCATTGGTCGAACTCACGTGGACCAAGCATTCGAAGTAGGAGAAGTACGTTCTAGCAATCATCTTGGTCAGTAGAATCCATTTTGTAGTAGTCTTTGTAACAGCTTAATCAAGTATCGAAAGTCTGATTTGCATCAGGATCGTAGTGAAATTCAGTGATGCTATTGACAATACCATCAACTGAAGAGAGTATTAAAATTTGGCTTGGTAGATGATGCTTCAGTACTAGAAATTCGGGACTGCATATGAATCTTGATAATCTTTATTGGTTATTCAAGGAAGTAGTTCAACTCTAAAGAATTTGTTCCACAATATAACTCACCGTCACCACTGTTATGATTTGGAAACTGCTTTGGCGACTAACGATCCACGGATATCCACCGTCAGCCATCAACATTCAATAGTCTTCTAGTTGGTTCCTGACCGAACTAATTAATGGAAAAGATACAATGGATATGTAGAAACGTGTATTAGGGTTGAAAAACTAGTGATATTCATCAACAACTGCCTACGCTCATTACTGAAGATCAGATGGCCAGAAAGAATAAACAACAAGGAACTCACTGTGACCGGCAACGAAACCAACCAAGAACCTATTGCTCAGAAATATGCAGAGGAAGAAAGTGGAGATGGATTGGACATACACTGAGAAGGTCGACTAGGGATATCACGCGCCAGGCAGGGTACTTGAGTGGAACCCACATGGTAAATAATGAGTTGGGCATCGGAATCGAGGGTAACATAGAGGAGGTGATGTGAGGAAGAAATGAGAGCTTGTGGGCAGTTGTGGAGCCTGGTTCAAAAGGTTGTAGAGAACTGAGTGTGCTGGAGACGTGCTACTGAAGTCCTATATTCTACTAAGGAATTCAAGGGAATACTAATAATAATAATAATGAATAATAGTTAGTTCGCTGTTTAAAATAATCCTGTTGATCGACTAACCTACCGACTTGATAACATAAAGTACATTTCGATTAATCTCTCTCCAATCTGATGTCTTTTCTCTCTATCGCCATATATCTTGTTTTCATTTTGAAACAATTAGTCCCTTTTATGAATTTGGATTATCTGAAAAAAAACAGTTTGTCCTTACATTAAGCCTACCTTTATTATTATTATTATTAGTCCTTTGGGTTCCTAATGGAACATACGGCTTCAGTAGCACGTCTCTAGTGAACTCTGTTCTCTGAATTCTTTTGAACCTGGCTCCACGACAGCCCACAACCTCTCATTTCCTCCTCACACGATCTCTTCCATGTCACCCTCAACTCAGACGTCCAACTCCTCGCTTCCGATGGGGGTTCCACTCGAGTACATGGCCTGACGCATGATTTCCCAAGTCGGCCTTCTCAGTGTATGCCCAATCCATCTTCACTTCCTGCTACTGCATATTTGTTGGGTGATAGGTTCTTGGTTGGTTCGTTCCCAGAGCTCCGTGTTGTTTATTCTTCCTGGCCATCTGATCTTCAGTAGCGAGCGTAAGCAGCTGTTGATGAATGTGTGTAGTTTGTTGGGAATGCTTTTCGTAACGCGCCAAGTCTCTGAACCATACAGAAGCACTGACTTGACGTTGGAAGCCTACCTTGGTAATACTTATTTATTTTATCGTATTATCAAGATTGTCTTCAAGTCTTATCTTTTTTCCCTCTTTATTATCTTTTTATTATTGAATTCCTTGATTTCAAATTGTTATTCATCGAAGACTGACATCAGTTGGAGGAACAAAGGAAACCTGGGAGCACTGGACAGCTGTTTCGTCCTAGTATGGGACTCCTCAGCAGTGCGCACCCACGACCCCACCAGCAGGGGTCGAACCCGCGACCTTCAGGTTCCGCGGCCAGCAAATTACTATTGAGCCACTGGGTCAGAATCTAATGCCCTGCTGGTGGGGTGGTGGGTGCGCACTGCTGAGGAGTCCCACACTAGTCAGACGAAACGGCTGTCCAGTGCTCCAGGTTTCCTTTGTTCCTCCAACTGATGTCAGTCTACGATGAATAACAACTTGAAATATTTCCAAATCTCCACAACCCCCTCAAGAATTCCTTTATGTCATATTTGTCCTTCCCCTACTTTCAGTTTTTATATATAAAACTGCCTTAACAAGTAAATGTATGATCAGATTGTTCAAAATGTATAACGCTAATACACATTATATATTGTTCAGATAATCTATTTCTTGTTTTCATTATTTGTAGGATGCTGTAGTTATAATCTATCTAGTTGATTGTTCACTTTATTCAACTAGTTCTATTCGAACCAATGAATTCAACTCATGTATTACATTATCTAATTATATAACACCAGAATTGATTGTTTCATCTAATATACCAGAGAATGCATATTTTGATTATACAGAAATTGAAAAATTAGTATTAACCACTTTAAACAATCATCATCATCATCATCAACATCATCAAGATAATGTACATATGAAAGATGATGTTCATTTGAATAATTTTATGATACAATTGAATGAAAATACTAATCATATTGTTCAAGTAGAACCTTTACTTTCTTCAACTCAACTTATTCGAAATACTGATAAAAATGATGATATAGATAGTAATACAATAAAATTATATAACCAAAAACATTACAAACAACAATTTAATTTATCATCTTATAAAAGACTTTATCATCATTTATCAACTAATACAAATAATGATAATATACATCTCATATCATCAATGAATCAAGAGAATATAGTTACACCTACTATTCCACGATTAAAAACTTTTAAATGGACAGCATTAAATGAATCTGTAGATGAGAAAGACAATAATAATAATAATAATAATAATACCAATAATATTATTGGTATAAACCTTTATGGAATAAACATTTATCCTCCCAATCATTGGACATTTTAAATGATTCATTCAAACAAAAAAATTTACCTGGCGTTCAATGTTCAATTGTAGATAATTATAATGCTACTATTTCTGCCGTTAATAATAATAATGATGATGATGATAATAATATGATATCGTTTGGTTTTAATATGATGACTGATGATGAAAACACCCTTAAAATGAATTTGAAAGATGAAGATTTTGAAATAGATTTGTAGCGTGGAAAATATGCAAGTAAAACGTTTTTCTTTTTTTACTTCTCACCTCCCCTCCCCCTCCCTCCAAGATCTATTTATCTGAATAAAGTATTTTATGTTTTACTTGATAAAAGTTTGATTGGGTTTTGTGTATACTTCCTTGCCAGCTGTTCACATTGTGGAAGGTAATTTTTTCTTAAGATATCTGACTGCATAACCGATGGGATATCTACTTTTGAGACTCAATCATAATGTATGAGATTTGATTGTTTTAACTGTAGGAAGAGAAAAACCATATTGTTCACATTCGAAGACCATGGAGTAGGAAGGAGTGTAGTATTTTAGCAGCTGTCCTTTCCTAACTTTCCCTTTCCTATTGGGATGATAGCATTAGTGTGGCATTGTTCTTCATACAAGAGAAACATCTTACACTCAATAGTAAGACTTTGCTCTTGAACTCTTATCATGTTGTTGCAATTAACACTACACAGCTTATGAATGAGTTGACCGAATATCCTAGAGTATTTTTTAGTGTGATTCATGCTTCTCAATTGTAAACCATTGTTCTAGGATTATGTTTCAATACACGGTTCAGTTTTTGTTGGTGAAAGAATTTGTAGCTTTTAAAGAAAGTCGCATTATTACCAAGTGCGTTATCTGTTGATGAAATTTCAGTTTTCGAATCAAAACACTCGCCAATGCGGATAGGATATTGGGAAATGGACTCTTAAAAGTTGAATTATTTCCTCGAACATCAAATGTACACAATTCGTCTATTACACCAGTTTTAATACTTCCTTCAGTTGACGGTATCGCCAATAACATCACTGAATTTCACTACGATCCTGATGCAAATCAGACTTTCGATACTTGATTAAGGTGTTACAAAGACTACTACAAAGTGGATTCTACTGACCAAGATGATTGCTAGAACGTACTTCTCCACGTGAGTTCAACCAATGCTGTGTGTGACACAACCCACGTGGTTGTAGTTTCGACACCACAGAATATCAACCAATTGGTAACATCCAGTGTGATTCGAGTTTACCTCAATCTGGAGACGAGGGTGATTCTGGAGTACATACAATTCGCCAGATATCTCATTCCTCCACATTACCATCTGGTTTCATCTCACCTGTTCATCGGAACAGTAACTCATGCTACACCATCCAACTGTCGAAGGAGATATCTTTTTTGCTTTGCTAACATTGTGGTGCCTTGTATTTCGTCGAATCTAGTCCACCTATACAACATGGATGCCAGGAGTGTAACGCACGCTGATAGCCACGAGGACGGCTTTTGCTGCCAACATATACCAACGACATCTACAAATGTCATCCTCCAGATATCACTGCAAATCTCATTCTCGATCGGTAGGTAGACTTGATAGCTTGTTTTCATGTCCTGTCCATCGACATGCCAGTCGAAATAATGTGAAGAAGACTACTGATCCTCTAGTGAACAAGGAGAAACTCGATGTGATTCGGTCAGATAGATGCGATGAAAAGACAGTGCTGTCCAGTCTGATTGCAAATAACATTTATCCGAAGAGGGAGATGATATGTGGATGGAGAGGAAAGACTAGTTGGTAGGAATGAGCAGTCAAAATGCACTTTATGTTATTACGTCTACAGTTAGATGGACACAGACAGACAGGTAGGCAGGCAGACAGACAGAGAGACTGTGGATCAGCTATCTAGTCAGCAGGATTATTTTAGGCGGCCAACTGTCTCTATATATATTAGATATATTTTCATTTGTTGTTTGGTTGTTTAGTTTTTCGTCCCCAATACGTGTCATTGTATGTACATAGTGTTTCCTCTATCAATTGGTTGGGTCGTGAATCAACTAGGAGATTGTTGAATGTTTGTGGCTGACAGTGGATATCCGTGCATCGTTACTGGCCATAGCTGTTTCTAAATTATATTAGTTTGGCGTTCGTCAGTGTATGACATCTCTGACGTCAGCTTGCGAGATATTCTACCACCTGAAAACGGGCGGCTAAACTAATCTGCAGTTCGCTGTGTCCTGTTATAGAGCTGTGAATCTAGGCCGTATAATTTCGGGTGTTTGAAGTGATTACAAATTTCCGATCACAGATGTCTTAGTAGTATTACTGACGGATGAAGGGGTCAACAGGTCAGCAGTGTCGATGTTTGGCAAAGGCTACTACTTCCCGAGGAAGGAAAACCGATCGATGGAGTTGTGATCTTTCACTAACTGGTGTGGCTGAGATATATGTTTCGAATGCCGAGTCACCGTCTACCTCAACATGCCATGCTTGGATAAGTTGGGAACTATTACATTGGCTGTTAACTGATGATGAACTATGTTGTAGTTCGCCTAGACAGTGAATTTTCATTTGAGGAGGTGTTTCAGACAATCAAGTGGTCTTTATTGACTTTGGACTTCATTCTGTTGAATTAGAGTAATGCGAGTAAGGAGGAAGTGTGATTTGTGGTAACTAATAGTCGCAGTTCTTCATCTTTCCAGTTCTGCTTATCTTTGGTGTTCACATTTTAAAGTTGTGTAAGTATCGTATGTGTTAGGTAACAGATTACTTTGTAGGTTATAAATCTAAATCCAACTATTTTAAAGCGTAAAACAAAACTGATTTATGCTAAAGAGACAGGTCATCATCCATCAACATTGGACCAGACATTACTGCACAACACTCCGAGTTGCCACAACTCATATCACTATATCAAGTAAAGAGGCACTCAAGTGGAAGATGAAGAAAAGAAAATTTAGTCAAAAGAAATATAAAGCGCTACAAGAGAGAAACGAAAAATGAGAAAATTGTGGGATTCAGTATAGCGTCGTTTAGATGAGGATCAAGTGTGTGCGGGTACATCTACGCCACTGACATCAGTTCTCAGCCATGTCATCACCTGGAGTCAGACTCCAACCACTCATTTCTCTTGTCCCACAGACCCAAACCGACTAGTCTGCATCGCCCCCACATGGCTCAAATTAACAGTCAACGACTTCATACATTGATGCCATGTTTCAGTCTGTCACCCCACCTCCGTAGCCTTTTTCCAGCCTGAACCTATTTCGGCCAACATTGTGTGACGAGGCAGACGGTGACTAGGCCTACGTAACACATCTCAGTCAGCTATCTCACTCGATGAAGATTCACAACCTCGTCAACTGACTTATCACTGGTCCCTAAAACTCTACGTCTGACTTCTGTGTTACTCACGTGGCGACACAATGAGACATGGTCTTTACTACGAAGGTAGCTTGGTCAGACACCTGAAACCTCATGTTTTCTACCTTCAATGGCCATGTTTCACATGCATAGAGTTTATTGTCTTTATTCAAATCAGGTAACTCCAGGATGCTGAGATATGGTGTGGATAGTTCTGATTGTCTCACCTTCTTTGTGAAATGCGTACAAGAATTTTTCACTTACTCGGAACGGAAGCTGTACTTGGTGTTGATCCGATGGAGAGAGATTCGGTTACCAATCTCTCCCTCCCCTCCACCAAACTAAGTTAGTGTATAATACTGTCATTCAGCCCCATCCTCTTGTGTGATTGTATGCAACCGCTGGCGTAGTGATCGACGATCTTTTTTCCTAAATTTCTCATCTTATTAGGAGCTACTAATCTTGATTTAGCTAAGCTTTTTTGCTGTGTTATTCTAACTTACCCTTGTCGGCTACACTGACCTATGTATTTGACCTCACAATCATTGCAAAGGATTCTATTAGGCAAATTATTTTGCTTAATCTCATTAATAGGATCTTTTAACCTACAAAGCTGGTTTCTAAGCGAAATAGTTAGCTTAAATGGAATGCTTTCGAGGTGCCTTCTTCGTATCGTAACGGAGTACATGTCCTTAGGAATGATTCAAATGTAAGTGTGTACTATATCGCCTGGGTTGAATGATTCACATCGCCTGCAAATTACGGTTTATGGTTGGATGTAGTCAGCAGGCAACTATGCAGCTTAGCTCCATAATTTCTGCTTCCATCAGTAAAGTGTATCTCTACTATAGAAGTATAAAATCGTTTACTTCTTAACAGGTTTCAACTTGTCGTCAATTGATGAGTGCAAACGATATTCGGTGCAAGGATATAAGTTGTTTCAGATTTTGGGGATTAACTGATTTCCAGTCAATATTCATCACGAACCAACATCATCTAAGGAACCATTGAAAACTGGCCAGTACTGGAAACCTGTTTTGTCCCAGCAAGGGACTTTTCAGACGTGGTGTCAGGTTTCAACTAATACAAATAATGATAATATACATGTCATATCATCAATGAATCAAGAGAATATAGTTACACCTACTATTCCACGATTAAAAACTTTTAAATGGACAGCATTAAATGAATCTGTAGATGAGAAAGACAATAATAATAATAATAATAATAATACCAATAATATTATTGGTAATAAACCTTTATGGAATAAACATTTATCCTCCCAATCATTGGACATTTTCAATGATTCATTGAAACAAAAAATTTACCTGGCGTTCAATGTTCAATTGTAGATAATTATAATGCTACTATTTCTGCCGTTAATAATAATAATGATGATGATAATAATAATATGATATCGTTTGGTTTTAATATGATGACTGATGATGAAAACACCCTTAAAATGAATTTGAAAGATGAAGATTTTGAAATAGATTTGTAGCGTGGAAAATATGCAAGTAAAACGTTTTTCTTTTTTTACTTCTCACCTCCCCTCCCCCTCCCTCCAAGATCTATTTATCTGAATAAAGTATTTTATGTTTTACTTGATAAAAGTTTGATTGGGTTTTGTGTATACTTCCTTGCCAGCTGTTCACATTGTGGAAGGTAATTTTTTCTTAAGATATCTGACTGCATAACCGATGGGATATCTACTTTTGAGACTCAATCATAATGTATGAGATTTGATTGTTTTAACTGTAGGAAGAGAAAAACCATATTGTTCACATTCGAAGACCATGGAGTAGGAAGGAGTGTAGTATTTTAGCAGCTGTCCTTTCCTAACTTTCCCTTTCCTATTGGGATGATAGCATTAGTGTGGCATTGTTCTTCATACAAGAGAAACATCTTACACTCAATAGTAAGACTTTGCTCTTGAACTCTTATCATGTTGTTGCAATTAACACTACACAGCTTATGAATGAGTTGACCGAATATCCTAGAGTATTTTTTAGTGTGATTCATGCTTCTCAATTGTAAACCATTGTTCTAGGATTATGTTTCAATACACGGTTCAGTTTTTGTTGGTGAAAGAATTTGTAGCTTTTAAAGAAAGTCGCATTATTACCAAGTGCGTTATCTGTTGATGAAATTTCAGTTTTCGAATCAAAACACTCGCCAATGCGGATAGGATATTGGGAAATGGACTCTTAAAAGTTGAATTATTTCCTCGAACATCAAATGTACACAATTCGTCTATTACACCAGTTTTAATACTTCCTTCGGTTGACGGTATCGCCAATAACATCACTGAATTTCACTACGATCCTGATGCAAATCAGACTTTCGATACTTGATTAAGGTGTTACAAAGACTACTACAAAGTGGATTCTACTGACCAAGATGATTGCTAGAACGTACTTCTCCACGTGAGTTCAACCAATGCTGTGTGTGACACAACCCACGTGGTTGTAGTTTCGACACCACAGAATATCAACCAATTGGTAACATGCAGTGTGATTCGAGTTTACCTCAATCTGGAGACGAGGGTGATTCTGGAGTACATACAATTCGCCAGATATCCCATTCCTCCATATTACCATCTGGTTTCATCTCACCTGTTCATCGGAACAGTAACTCATGCTACACCATCCAACTGTCGAAGGAGATATCTTTTTTGCTTTGCTAACATTGTGGTGCCTTGTATTTCGTCGAATCTAGTCCACCTATACAACATGGATGCCAGGAGTGTAACGCACGCTGATAGCCACGAGGACGGCTTTTGCTGCCAACATATACCAACGACATCTACAAATGTCATCCTCCAGATATCACTGCAAATCTCATTCTCGATCGGTAGGTAGACTTGATAGCTTGTTTTCATGTCCTGTCCATCGACATGCCAGTCGAAATAATGTGAAGAAGACTACTGATCCTCTAGTGAACAAGGAGAAACTCGATGTGATTCGGTCAGATAGATGCGATGAAAAGACAGTGCTGTCCAGTCTGATTGCAAATAACATTTATCCGAAGAGGGAGATGATATGTGGATGGAGAGGAAAGACTAGTTGGTAGGAATGAGCAGTCAAAATGCACTTTATGTTATTACGTCTACAGTTAGATGGACACAGACAGACAGGTAGGCAGGCAGACAGACAGAGAGACTGTGGATCAGCTATCTAGTCAGCAGGATTATTTTAGGCGGCCAACTGTCTCTATATATATTAGATATATTTTCATTTGTTGTTTGGTTGTTTAGTTTTTCGTCCCCAATACGTGTCATTGTATGTACATAGTGTTTCCTCTATCAATTGGTTGGGTCGTGAATCAACTAGGAGATTGTTGAATGTTTGTGGCTGACAGTGGATATCCGTGCATCGTTACTGGCCATAGCTGTTTCTAAATTATATTAGTTTGGCGTTCGTCAGTGTATGACATCTCTGACGTCAGCTTGCGAGATATTCTACCACCTGAAAACGGGCGGCTAAACTAATCTGCAGTTCGCTGTGTCCTGTTATAGAGCTGTGAATCTAGGCCGTATAATTTCGGGTGTTTGAAGTGATTACAAATTTCCGATCACAGATGTCTTAGTAGTATTACTGACGGATGAAGGGGTCAACAGGTCAGCAGTGTCGATGTTTGGCAAAGGCTACTACTTCCCGAGGAAGGAAAACCGATCGATGGAGTTGTGATCTTTCACTAACTGGTGTGGCTGAGATATATGTTTCGAATGCCGAGTCACCGTCTACCTCAACATGCCATGCTTGGATAAGTTGGGAACTATTACATTGGCTGTTAACTGATGATGAACTATGTTGTAGTTCGCCTAGACAGTGAATTTTCATTTGAGGAGGTGTTTCAGACAATCAAGTGGTCTTTATTGACTTTGGACTTCATTCTGTTGAATTAGAGTAATGCGAGTAAGGAGGAAGTGTGATTTGTGGTAACTAATAGTCGCAGTTCTTCATCTTTCCAGTTCTGCTTATCTTTGGTGTTCACATTTTAAAGTTGTGTAAGTATCGTATGTGTTAGGTAACAGATTACTTTGTAGGTTATAAATCTAAATCCAACTATTTTAAAGCGTAAAACAAAACTGATTTATGCTAAAGAGACAGGTCATCATCCATCAACATTGGACCAGACATTACTGCACAACACTCCGAGTTGCCACAACTCATATCACTATATCAAGTAAAGAGGCACTCAAGTGGAAGATGAAGAAAAGAAAATTTAGTCAAAAGAAATATAAAGCGCTACAAGAGAGAAACGAAAAATGAGAAAATTGTGGGATTCAGTATAGCGTCGTTTAGATGAGGATCATATGTGTGCGGATACATCTACGCCACTGACATCAGTTCTCAGCCATGTCATCACCTGGAGTCAGGCTCCAACCACTCATTTCTCTTGTCCCACAGACCCAAACCGACTAGTCTGCATCGCCCCCACATGGCTCAAATTAACAGTCAACGACTTCATACATTGATGCCATGTTTCAGTCTGTCACCCCACCTCCGTAGCCTTTTTCCAGCCTGAACCTATTTCGGCCAACATTGTGTGACGAGGCAGTCGGTGACTAGGCCTACGTAACACATCTCAGTCAGCTATCTCACTCGATGAAGATTCACAACCTCGTCAACTGACTTATCACTGGTCCCTAAAACTCTACGTCTGACTTCTGTGTTACTCACGTGGCGACACAATGAGACATGGTCTTTACTACGAAGGTAGCTTGGTCAGACACCTGAAACCTCATGTTTTCTACCTTCAATGGCCATGTTTCACATGCATAGAGTTTATTGTCTTTATTCAAATCAGGTAACTCCAGGATGCTGAGATATGGTGTGGATAGTTCTGATTGTCTCACCTTCTTTGTGAAATGCGTACAAGAATTTTTCACTTACTCGGAACGGAAGCTGTACTTGGTGTTGATCCGATGGAGAGAGATTCGGTTACCAATCTCTCCCTCCCCTCCACCAAACTAAGTTAGTGTATAATACTGTCATTCAGCCCCACCCTCTTGTGTGATTGTATGCAACCGCTGGCGTAGTGATCGACGATCTTTTTTCCTAAATTTCTTATCTTATTAGGAGCTACTAATCTTGATTTAGCTAAGCTTTTTTGCTGTGTTATTCTAACTTACTCTTGTCGGCTACACTGACCTATGTATTTGACCTCACAATCATTGCAAAGGATTCTATTAGGCAAATTATTTTGCTTAATCTCATTAATAGGATCTTTTAACCTACAAAGCTGGTTTCTAAGCGAAATAGTTAGCTTAAATGGAATGCTTTCGAGGTGCCTTCTTCGTATCGTAACGGAGTACATGTCCTTAGGAATGATTCAAATGTAAGTGTGTACTATATCGCCTGGGTTGAATGATTCACATCGCCTGCAAATTACGGTTTATGGTTGGATGTAGTCAGCAGGCAACCATGCAGCTTAGCTCCATAATTTCTGCTTCCATCAGTAAAGTGTATCTCTACTATAGAAGTATAAAATCGTTTACTTCTTAACAGGTTTCAACTTGTCGTCAATTGATGAGTGCAAACGATATTCGGTGCAAGGATATAAGTTGTTTCAGATTTTGGGGATTAACTGATTTCCAGTCAATATTCATCACGAACCAACATCATCTAAGGAACCATTGAAAACTGGCGAGTACTGGAAACCTGTTTTGTCCCAGCAAGGGACTCTTCAGGCGTGGTGTCAGGTTTCTAATGGTTTTACGAATGATGTCGATTCGTGATGAATACCACCTTGGTAGAAATCACTCACCGGACATAAACGTAAGTGCTAACTAAAATCGAATTCACTTTGTATTAGGTATTGTTAGTCAGTATTAGCCCACTAAAAGTTTAGGAATGCATCGTACCAGACATATCCAAACCAGCAATAAGTAGGTAACTAACAGTTCTATTATCCCATCGCTGAATGGACCGAATTGATCGGTTCCTAATACAAACAACGACATTAAAACCATATCTATTGCATAAAAAGTGGTTATCGTGATTCGGTGGTCTAGTGGATAACATTCTGGCCTTTGAAGAAATCTGTTCCCAGTTCAAGTACTAGTGGGATCAACATCACCCACTGGGAGGCAGGTACGTCCAGCTGATGAGTCCCATTCAGGACGAAACGCGCATCCTGGATCCCAAAGCTAGTCACTATCCATCATTCATATAGAAGTTCGTTTATTTACAACATCACTTTGATGTTCATAGATAACACAGCTGCCTTAGTTTAACTAGCCGTTAGTTCATCGCATTCTGTATCTAATTCAGCTTCAATTTACATCAAGGTGAAGAGGTTTATTTAACGTCATACCAATAATTGGATGGTTACTGACTCTGATACTGTAACGCTTCAAGTTGTTTATTGAGTGCAATCATCAACCCATGTGTGTACAAGGCGGGATATTTAAAAAAGTAAGGCTTAACCCAAGCTGAGGATGCGATAAACTTGTTTATTTTGTAGGGTCTCGAAGTGTTTAGATAATCGATACTTTGGGAGAGTCAGATGAATTTTGTCAACGCTGATAAAAGTACTATGAAGGTAATATATGAATGATGGAAATTGGATAAATATTCACAAGTAGAAATTAAACGACATGAGAAAGCTGTGAGTGATTAACTACCACCACCTTCCTATCATCTATTGTATGGACGCCTGGAATCATCATATGAGTACTCCAACATGTATACACACACCTTTAGATATAAAAAGTTAAGTCAGTTGATAGGGTTTTCCATTTTAAACGACTGAAGTGATACAGACGTGAGTTATGCTCGTTTAACCACGATGTAGCCCAACAAGTCATATGAACTGTAGTAGGCTTAAGCTATAAGCTTTTATTGTTATCATTATTATAACAATAACATGGTACAGCAAGAACACTAAGAAATGCACTAAACAAAATAATATAAGGTGTCGCGAATCGCGGTCCTAATACCTCATTCATAACATCTTTGTCTTCAACAATATGTGACGTGACTCACTGACCGGTCAAATCTCTGCTCGGATACAAAAAGCTCGGTTGGCGTTTGCCAACTTACCCCACCTGCGGTGCCGCCGTGATATCCAATTGTTTGTCGATTAAAGGCCGTGTGTACTGTACAGCAGTCCTTTCTGTTCTACTCTGTGGCTGTGAAACATGGCCATTGAAGGTAGAAAACATGAGGTTTCAGGTGTCTGACCACGCTACCTTCATAGTAAAGACCATGTCTCATTGTGTCGCCACGTGAGTAACACAGAAGTCAGACGTAGAGTTTTAGGGACCAGTGATAAGTCAGTTGACGAGGTTGTGAACCTTCATCGAGTGAGATAGTTGACTGAGATGTGTTACGTAGGCCTAGTCACCGTCTGCCTCGTCACACAATGTTGGCCGAAATAGGTTCAGGCTGGAAAAAGGCTACGGCGGTGGGGTGACAGACTGAAACATGGCATCAATGTATGAAGTCGTTGACTGTTGATTTGAGCCATGTGGGGGCGATGCAGACTAGTCGGTTTGGGTCTGTGGGACAAGAGAAATGAGTGGTTGGAGCCTGACTCCAGGTGATGACATGGCTGAGAACTGATGTCAGTGGCGTAGATGTATCCGCACACATATGATCCTCATCTAAACGACGCTATACTGAATCCCACAATTTTCTCATTTTTCGTTTCTCTCTTGTAGCGCTTTATATTTCTTTTGACTAAATTTTCTTTTCTTCATCTTCCACTTGAGTGCCTCTTTACTTGATATAGTGATATGAGTTGTGGCAACTCGGAGTGTTGTGCAGTAATGTCTGGTCATATGTTGATTTGGATGGATGAGCGATAATGAAGGTGATAGTAACAATGATAATGATTAATTGGTTGATTGTGACCAGCAGAAGAATCCAGGACGCGCGTCTCGTCCTATCTGGGACTCGTCAGCTGGATGCACCTGCACTCCAGTGTTGTTTCGACTGGGACTCGAACTTCGTACCCATCGCTTCAAATGCCGAGGTGTTATCCGCTACGCCACGGAGGAACGGTAGCCACTCCTTGTACAACGGCTATTAGTTATTACTATTTATTGACATACTTGTTATTCTGCGTTGTTTGTTTTGTTGGATCGAATTGTTCGACCTCTATTGGCATATGGTCTTCTATGCGGATTCCTCGATATTGCCTGAATGTTATTTATGATTAGTCGGTTGGTTTTGGCTAGCAGAAGAATCCAGGATGCGCGTTTCGTCCTATTTGGGACTCATCAGCTGCTAGCCACATCCAACCAATTCATCATAATTAACATTCAGGCAATATCGAGGTATTAGCATAGGAGCCCCCACTGCCAATAGAAGTCGGACATTTCAATCCAACAAAACAACGGAGAATAACAAGTATGTCAATAAATATTAATGATTATAATAATAATAATAATAATAATAATAATAATCTGGACGACGAATTGTATCCGAAACATAATCCAGTAAGTGATACTCTACCTTCACCGATCGACATTTCTAATAAACAGACTAAAATGGAACTACAATCTAACACAGTCCCCAAGTTTTACTTCTATAATACAATGAAGCATTGGAATTTGTCGTAGAAAAGTATATTTCTTGATAAAACTACACGAAATCTCCAAACATTAAGAGTTATCCAATGAGATTGGACGAAGTAATCCTAATTGCAAATTGAAGTTGGTGTACTCCTAATGATTTCATTACTTTTCTGGGAAAAACTATCGTCTAAAATATATAAAAGAACAGGAAAACACACATATATACATCATTAAGCGAAAAGCAAAGATTTATAAGAAACTGCAATTGGTTAGTTATTTGTACTGGTTCAACTTTACCTGGTCAACATTTTTGAATTTCATAACAGAGCTTAATCAATTTAGTCTAGTACAGCAACAGGAAATTACAAGTAATACTCAAAAAAAACTGATACTGATTGTGCAAGAGGTGGTTATCGTGTCTCATTGACCTAATGAATAATCATTTTGTGTTCAGAGTGATTGGTACTAGGTTCGAGTCCCAGTGGGGAAAACATCGCTCATTGGGGTCCAGATACATATAGCTGACGAGTCCTACATAAGACAAAACGGAACTTCAGGACGTCACTGCTATTCACCAAGATGAATATAGTAAGAAGATGTTATTTGTGTGAATCGCGTAATGTATTTGGGTACGACATTCCGAACAGTTTGATCACACCTGTATATGAAAGGTTATATAGCTAAGGGGTAGGAAAATATTTATTGGTCAATTGAGATGACTATATTGAAGGTCGATATAATGATGAAAGTCAATAAAGCTAAATTTACCCAGGAAGGTCTAATTCTATGACAAATAGTTTCTGAACATATTATTATTATTTGTCCCTTGGGTTCCTAGTCGAACACAGAGGTTCAGCAGCACGTCTTCAGTGCACTCTGTTCTCTGCAAACTTTCGAACTTGGTCCATGACAGCCTGGAAACCTCATTTCTTCCTCACATCACCTCCTCTATGTCAGCCTCGACTCAGACGTCCAACTCGTCGTTTCCCATCTGGGTTACACTCGAGTGCCTGGCCTGGCACGTGATGTCCCCGAATCGTCCTCTCATTGAATGCCACATCCATCTCCACTTCCTGCTACTGCATATCTTTTGAGTGATAGGTCCTTGGTTGGTTCGTTGCCCATCCAGCCAGAGTTCCTTGTTTCTTATTCTTATTATTCTGGCCATCTGATCTTCAGTGTCAGTAACGAGCCAGCGTAGGCAGTTGTTGATGAATATCTGTAGTTTGTTGGAAGTGCCTTTCGTGAAGCGCCAAGTCTCTGAACCATCACACAGAAGCACTGACTTGACTGACATTGGTGTTGAAAATCCGGATCTTGTTCCACATGCTGAGTGCAGAAGATCTTCACACTGGTTTCAGGTTAGTGAAAGCCTGTCTTGCTATCTTTCCGATCCTGGCTGGTTTTGACATCCTTGTCTATGCCACCACCGCCTGTAGTTGAAACAAGGCTGCGTAGATAGGTGAAAGAGGCTACTTCCTTCTGAACATATTAGGATGGTTTAAACCATATAATAGCTAATGTCTCAACAAACTTCACAATACTTCCTCAACAAATCATACAGATGGCCTTGGATGTCCATTTTATGACCTATTAAATCTTCCTTCATAAATTCACTTTGAAATCAAGGTTACTTCACTATTAACTTCTTGTTGTTGTTACTTTGTTCATCTTTTCACCTCACCTTCAATCATTACCCAGTATCAATAATACAAGTATACCCAACTACAACTATCTCAGTGACAGTCAAAATGATCATCAGCTTGATGCTCCCTGTGTCTAATTCAGTTAGATTGCGATCAGGATAAGAAGTCCTGATTTGATTAGTGGGAGTCAGTTTAAGTAAGATTATGCGATAGTAACGTGTCACGAATGTAGATGGTAGTCGAGCAAAATCCATGGTGATTGTAGAAGTGAAATTCAAAAAAATCTCGTCAGGAATTAGGGTCTCGTAGCTCAGTTGGTAAAGTATCGAACCAGAAACTCAATAGTCCCGCGGTTTAAATCTCGCCACAGTCTAAATTTTTATTTGACGTGTAATCATCACTCAGTATCAATCTTCCAAACCACGTCTATCTCCGATGGTGAAATTGATAATTGTTTATTCTAAATAAAAGCAATTAATATTAGCGTAAAACTTGGTAACTATGATTCAATTTGATATACAGTACACAGTGTTACAGTGAGGAGATCTCCTGCACTCAGCATGTGGAACAAGATCCGGATTTTCAACACCAATGTCAGTCAAGTCAGTGCTTCTGTATGGTTCAGAGACTTGGCGCTTCACGAAAGGCATTTCAAACAAACTACAGACATTCATCAACAACTGCTTACGCTCGCTACTGAAGATCAGATGGCCAGAATAATAAGAATAAACAACAAGGAGCTGTGGGAACGAACCAACCAAGAACCTATCACCCAACAAATATGCATTGGAAGGAAGTGAAGATGGATTGGGCATACACTGGGAAGACCGACTGGGGACATCACGCGTCAGGCCAGGTACTCGAGTGGAACCCCCATGGGAAGCGATGAGTTGGACGTGCGTGGTGAGGGTGACATGGAGGAGACCGTGCAAGGAGAAAATGAGAGGTTGTGGGCTGTGGTGGAGCCAGGTTCAAAAGATTTCAGAGAACAGAGTTCACTAGAGACGTGCTACTGAAGTGGTATGTTCCATTAAGAACCCAAGGGACATAATAATAATAATAAGATTGTGTGGGGTGCTCCTTGCATTGCAATAACAGGGTGTTTTTCTTTTCTAGATTATTAATCTTATTCAGGTCTATTATTCTATATTTAGTTAAATTCACATGTTCCCCCATTTTAACTGACGCTGGCGGACGAATGTACCTGACCTCACTCGCAGTCATTACACGGAATTCGGTAGACTAGATTATTTTGCTAAATTGGTGTTCTATCGAATCCTTAAGCCAATTGACAAAGCTTATCACTAAGTGAGTTTGTAGGTTTAAATGCCACGTAATGTTTCTGATTTACCTTCCTCATAGGCTAACCTAATGGAACCTATGAACTCCTTTCTATTCATGTTGTCATTGTTATTCGTACTCATGTTACTGTCCTTATTTCGTTTTTTATGCATTCTTATGAATTTTTTTAACAAATTGTTAAGGATAGTTATTAGTGCTTTTTTTATATGCTTCGGTTCCTCGCATTGGCGTAGGATCCTCAACAAACTGGAATTAGGGTGGTATTTAAACCTACAAACCCACTTGGAGATAAGCTTTGTCAGTTGGCTTAAGGATCCGACAGAACTAATTAAGCAAAATAATCTAATCTATGATATTTCATGCAATTACTGAGTGACGTCAAGTGCATACGTCAAGGTCACTCAGAATAGCGGAACATACTAATTTAACTAAGTACAGAATGACAGTTACCAATAAGATCATTAATCTAGAAAGACATTCGGCTATTGCAGTGCAAGGAGTAGCACACATCCGAACACAATGGAGTGGGATAAAACCACTGTACTTAAGTCCAATATAATTAGAAGGAGACAGTGAGGGATATCGATTACTGAATCCCTGTTCGTCGAATCAATACTTATACCAGAGATATGAGAAGTTTTATTATTGTTATTATTATTTGTGCCTCGGGTTTCTATTGGAACATAGGGCTTCAGTAGCATGTGATTGCCTACAAGCTTTCATTTCTTCCTTACACCACCTCCATGTCACCCATACCTTAGACGCCCAGCTCGTCGTTTCCCCTTTGGATTCCACTCGAGTACCTGACCTTGCGCTTGATGTTTCCGAATGGCTTTCTCAGTGTATGCCCAGTCCACCTTCACTTTCTTCTGTGTACAAGTTAGGCGATAGGTCCTTGGTTGGTTCGTTGGCAGAGTTCCTTGTTGCTTGTTATTACTATTTTGGCCATCTAATCTTCAGCAACGAGCGTAGGCAGCTGCTGATGAATGTCTGTAGTTTGTTGGAAATATTTTTCGTGACGCACCATGTTTCTGAACCATCACATAGAAGCACTAACTTGATTGACGTTGATGTTTAAAATCCAGATCTTGTTCCACATGCTGAGTGCAATAGATCTTCACAGTGATCTCAGATTAATGAAAGCCTGTCTTGCTATCTTTTCGATCCTGGCTTTGACGTCCTCATGTGTGCCACCACCTGTAGCTGAAACGATGCTGCTTAGATAGATGAACGAGACAAATTTAAATTTCTCCCGTTGGTGGTGATCGGTGCTTGTTGTTGTTTGTTGGGTGTCTTCATCACCTCTGTCTTCTCTACATTCACTTGAAGTTCCATCTTCCTTCGCTGCCTCTTCTGTCGACTTGTTAGTTTTCGCCTGTACATCTTGGAGTTTGTGGTACAAGATATTATACACAAATCATCTGCGAAACCCAAATCTTCTGGGGGTCTTTTCATCAGTCCAGCCACCGTATGCCCGTCTTCTTCCTACTCACGGCTTGCTGCATGATCCAGTCGACCACAATCAGAATCAGGAAGATCATCCGTGATAGTAGGTGCCAGCCTTATCTTACTCCTTCCTGTCTTCACTTCAAAGGCGTCATTGAGATTTCCATTGTGGATCACTTGGCATCTGGCGTCTTCATATAGCTGTTGAATGAGGTTGATAAAGGTTTGTGGTATTTCGTGGTGTTGAAGCAACTGCCAAATTACTTCTCGGTCGACGCTGTCGAAGGCTTTTTCAAAGTCGATGAAGTTGAGGTAGAGTTGAGTTAGCTGCCATTCTGTGCTCTGTTCTATGATGATGCATAGTGTAGCGTTGCAATTTGATCCCCACATGATTTGTTCTTCCTGAATCCAGCCAGTCAGTCAGCCTGTTCCGGTCGTAATTTTATTCCAATGCATCCTTTAGTCTCTTCAAGATGATGCGGCATAAAATTTGCTTGGGGTTGACAGGAGCACGATTCCCCGTCAGTTCTTGCAAAGACTTAGGTCGCCCTTCTTCCAATCCATCAGCACGTACCTTCCCTTCCTTGCAAACCTTCTGCAACAGTGGTGTGAGCATGTCCACTGTTTTCTCTGTGTCCGTTTTCAATGCTTGCTTGTGGTGGAATTCCACCTGGTCCTGCTGCTTTCCCGCATTTTAGTAACTTTATGGCATTGAGGACTTCTGCTTTTGCTGAAGGGCCTGTGTTCACTGGTAGTTCTGCGGTTGCTGATGATGGTGTTTCTGGACGAGTTG